ATATGGAAAACCGTTACAACAGTAATCCAATCGAAGGCCGTACCAAAAATAATCCGACTGAAAACCGTTACGACAGAAATCTCACTGAAAGCCATTCCACACGGAATCTTATTGACAGCCGTTACACAAATAATCCAATTGAAGGCCGTACCAAAAATAATCCGCCGACCCTTTGTGGATTCAGGCGTGTGAGATTATCGCCCCCCCATGATACCCCCCCAGGGACCCCAAACCAGCAATCCGACCCCCCCCCTCGCCCAGCCCGACCCCAGACCGAACGCGTCACGGGGGAGCGGAGGTCTCCAACACTGGCCAAGAAGGCACCAAAACGCTCCCCAGACGGCCCCAGGGGGCCACGATTCGCCGAAATGTCGCCCTGGACGCACACGATGGCCTCCAGGCGCCCTCCGAAGCTGCCAAGACGCCCCCAAAGGCCCCCAAGATGCGTCCCAAGAGGGTCCCAAGAAACAAACATCGGCCCATTCCCTTCGAAAAACCAACATTTTGTCGCATGCTCGCCTATTCGGTTTTCACAACGCCCAAGACGGGCAAAGAAACCTTCAATATCGCCCCCAGACGGCCAAAGGGGCCCCCAAGAAGGGTCGAAGAGGGTCCAACAACAGCCCCCGAAGCCCCCACGACAGCCCAAGAGGGCCCCCAGACGGCTCCAAGACGGAGCCCAGAGGGCATCTTGTTGAGCCTTCGGCCCCAAGAGGCCCCCAGCCTGCCCCAAGAACAGCCCAAGAGGCCCTGAGGGACCCCCAAGAGAACTTCAAAGGCCTTCAAGAAGCCCCCAGGAAGCCCCCAAGAGGCCCCAAAACTTGGCCCAAGATGCCTCGAGGCGGCCAGATATGGCCTGCAGACAGGCCAAGATGCCACCAAAAGGCCACAAAACAGCACCAAGAGGTACGATAACGACAACGAAGCAACAGGAACGATGTCGAGCGCCGTGTCATGATTCGGACAAGCCTCGTGCAACGCAGTCCTGGAGGCGCAGTAGTTTATATAGGGGTCGGCGGATGTGGCGTAAGCTTATAGAACTCAATTCAAAGCCGTTACACAAGGGATCCGATTGAAAACCGATGCAAAAGGAATCCTATGGAAAGCCGTTGCACAAGGATTCCTTTTGAAAGCCGTTGCGCAAGGAATCCGATCGAAAGCCGATACAACAGGAACCGGTTAAAAACAAGAACAGACGAAATCCGACTGAAAGCCGTTGCAACAGGAATCTGATTGAAAACCGTTACAACAGGATTCCGAATGAAAGCCGTTACCACAGGAATCCCATTGAAGGCCGTACCGAAAGGATTCCTACTGATAGCCGCTACAAAGGGGCTCCTATTGAAAGCCGTTACACAAGGAATCCAAGTGGAAGCCGATACACAGATATTCCCATTGAAAGACGTTACAAGAGGAACCCAAGTGAAACCAAGTACAAAAATAATCCCAATGAAAGCCGTTACAATATGCATCCGATTGAAAACCGTTACAAAAGGAATCGTATTGAAAACCGTTGCAAAAGGAATCCGATTGAAAGCCGTTGCACTAGGAATTGTAACAATTGTTTTGTAAGCCGGTACACAAATCATACTATTGAAATGTTGGAAATCTTAAAATCTGTGGTAAGCTTGCTCAACAACACATTGTTTTGCAAATATTGCGTAACAAAAAAGTCAGCATGGCAGGGTTCTACCACAAGATGCTGTCGGGGAGGTGTTGAAGCAACGTCCTCTTGTGTTAGTCCCGCGAGGGCCACGTCCTAAAACGCGGCCGAACGCCATGTCTGAGGACACGGCGATACAGCCCTTACAAACATCCCCCCCCCTCCCCCCCCCTTTGGACGCCCGACATGGGTACGGACAACATGGGCACGATGCCCGACAACATGGGCACGATGCTCGATACCATGGGCACGATGCAGGGGCCACTGCCGGGCAGGCGCCCTCCCGTCTCAAATGGGCAACGTCCGCGGCGGCACGGACAGCGGCCTCTGCCCGAGATTGGCAGGGACTGCCGTCGGTCGTCGTGCCCCTTCCTTCCCTGCCCAGTTCGTTGGCGCCGACCCTCGATCCCGAGCCTCCTTCTCCTCCTCCCTCCTCCTCCCTCCTCCCTCCTCCTCCTCCTCACTCCTCCTCCTCCCTCCTCCTCCTCCTCCTCCCTCCTCCTCCCTCCTCCTCCCTCCTCCCTGCTCCTCCTCCTCCTCCTCCTCCTCCTCCTCCTCCTCCTCCTCCTCCTCGGCGGGGAGCCGGCCGACCAGGGTGGTGGGGTAAAGGGAGCCGGGGCCGCGAGGGGCGGGCAGCGAGGCCGGGCTCCCGCGCGGGCTCGGGGAGGCACGGAGGGACGGCGCACTGGGCGAGGTCTTGGCGCGGGGCCCCCTCGGGGGGAAGGGGGCGGGGCGGGCGGGCGGGGGGGGGCCCTGTGCTCTGCGTGCTCTGCACCTCGTGTGTGCTTCTTGCTGCAGCGTGTCCGGCCCATAACCGCTCCCTCTCGGAAGCGGTGCGTGGCCGTCGCTCGAGGAGGGCTGAAGCCTGCAGCGGCATGGCATGAGCCAGCCACGTGCCAGACAGGACGCAGACCACATGCAGCTCCAGTCTGCGTCGTTCTGTGGGAGGGGTCCGACGTCACAGGGAGAGCGTCGGAGGAAGCGCAGGACGCGCACCGCAGAGTGAGGCGGGGCAACGAGGGCCCATCTCGCCCGCCCCACGGTCCACCCGCGAGCCACCGAGAGGGCCGCGGCTCGGGGCGGGGGCGGGCAGAGAGAGAGAGGCCAGCGGTCGGCAGCAGGCGACGGCGGCGTGGCGAGACGGGGCGGGCTGGGGAGGGGAAGGGGGGCGTTGTAGGGAGTCTCCGAGCCCTACTCCCCCCACCCCCCTTTACAACCCTACGGCGGCCCTACGGGGCGTTGTATGGAGTCTCCGAGCCCTGCTCCCCCCACCCCCCTCCAACCCTACACCTACGTCCCGCTCCCCCCTCCACCGTGATCGGGATGGGGATGGGGATGCGGAGAGGGGAGTCTGTGGGAGAGGAGGAGAGGAGGCAAGAGAGGAGGGGAGGCGAGGGAAAGGGAAAGGGGGGAAGAGGGAGGACGGAGGGAGGGCAAGCGCGGATGGGGAGGCGGAAAACGAAGAACGGGACGAGCCAACGAAGTGAGGGAAGGGGGCGGGAGGGTGTGTGTGTGGGGGGGGGGGGCGGCGGCAGGCGACGCGGAACCGAGAGAAGCCAGGAGTGGAGGGAAGTGGCCTCAGCTCAGCAGAAGAGGTGGCGGGTCGCGGCACTCTGGTGCTGCTCCAACAACGTTCACCCCTGTTCATTTCGTCATCCCTCCTCCCTTCTCGTCCTTCGCCCCCTCCATTTCCTACATGTTACCTCCTGCGTCATGTCATCCTTCAAACCTCCCTGCCTCAACCTCCTCCCCCCCTATCCGCTCCCCCACCCCCCCGTCCCCACCACCTGCCCCCTTTCCTCTTCCCCCCATCTTCCATCTCCCACTCCTGACGGTTCCCCTGATTATGGTGCTCCTCCTGCTCGAGTACCTCCTTCTACTCCTCCTCCGACAACTCAGTTGCTTCTTCTCTCTCTTCTGTATTCGCGCCACCATCACCACATCGCCATATGTGCGACGTCCTGTTCCTGCTCTACGGGCGACCTTGACAACCATGCCTCTGGTGGAGGCAGGCGCATGTACAAGGCGCTCCGTGGTATAGTAGAACCGGGTACGCTTCCCATGCTACAAACATCGATGCTTAGTATCGTGTGCGATCTGCATCATGTTTTGCAGCATGTCGTCGACTGCCCACCTCTGCGGCACACTTCCAGAGAAAGCTCCAGTCCACGGCAGGTGCAGCTATCAAGTCAGACAGAGCTGCTTGGCACAAGTTGTTCAGCGCTCCGTTTCGCCCCCGCATGCCTCCATCGTGCGGCTCACGATCTGAGGGTCTTCCCTTAGAAGAGCAGCCATCGTCACCATCATCACCACCCTCATCATGATCCCAATTACCATCATATTAAGCATGCTTATCACCGTGACCACCCTCATCCTCATTATCCTCGTCCTTCTCGTCCCAATCATCCTCACCACCATCCCTTATGTGGCAACTCATGGGGGCCTCGCATACCATCTGATTGCCTTTGGCAAATCGACGCAAGCCGACGCTGATCGACGCCAGATCTTGGCTATCTCATCAATCACCAGACGCGAGTCGGCGCGAACGCACTCGCAGGACGGATTTGCGAGGGTATACAAGGCTCCCATGATTTGAGGCCCAGCCTCCCCGCGATCCTCTCTGTCACCATTCCCCCCTCACCCGACATCCCCCTCCAGATGCCCCGCGGTGCAGGGGTTGGAGCTAACCGCCGCCGCTGCAACCGCCGAGCATCGTCACCACCATGATCACCCGCATCCTCACCATCCTCATCCTTCTCGCATCCCCGCCATCCTCATCACCATCCCCGCGACCCTCCCTGACACCATGTTTGTTCCTCGGCAGGATGCCGGACACTTCGAGCCCGTAATGTCAGCACGCACGCCGTGCGACAGAAGCAGCAACGGCGCGCGCAAAAGTCCGCAAACCGACCCGCGACAAAGGGCCAGGAAGCCCGCACGAACGGCGATGGGTCGCGAGCTACAGACATTACAACAGCATCCCGACAGGGAAATGGAGGATGAGGGGAGAGAAGAAACCGAATTCTGGGTACCTCACAGTGGCGGCGAGCGAGAGGGGGCAGTGAGAAGGGGCGCGCCTTCTCAGAAGGCACGACGAAAGTCCCACAGCCTTCTGAGAAGTTGTCTAAGCTGCCCCTGAAGACACAGAGAGACTGCTCAGAAGGCGCGAGGGCTTCTGAGAAGTCCCGCCTTCTCCTTCTCACTTCCCCCCCTCGCTTGCCGCCGATCATAAACAGGATGAGGTGGAACGGACATGAGGGACTACGACTCTCTGCCAGCTTCCCCGGCCCCCTAGAACTCCCTCCAGCTGCCCCCGCGGCGCAGGGGGGGAGCTGGCCCACGCCGCCACAGCAGCCGCCCCGCGACCTGCCACCCCCAGCGTCGTCGTCGTCGTCGTCTTCGGCGTCGTCGTCGTCGAACTCTCACTTCTAAAGAACACTTACTGCTGGTCTACGGAAGGTTGACGGAACACTCTCGTTCGAGCGTGTTCTACGTTGTCCTTGCCGACGAGGCTCACGATCGAGCGCGGGCTCCAATCCAAATGTGAGCTTATGAAGGCCCGGCTACAACATCGGCTCCCGCCTAAGAACCCCTCGCCATTTATATATTACCCCGCCCCACGCTCGAGATTGCATCGCAAATTGCTTGGGAATCGCGCTCTCGCCAGGGACTCCTTCACAACGGATTCAAACCCTTGAAGGCCCAGTCCCGCTGGAGACTCCCTCACGATCTGCTTATGAGTCGTGCTCCCGCCTGAGACGTCGTTAATGTGTACTGAGGAATCAGGCTCTACGCTTGATGTCACTGGGATGGACAAAAGACCCCCCTAAAGGAGGTGCGTCCACAGAATAAGAGGGCGGGCGCGAGGCAGAGGCCGAAACGCATGAGCGTCGGACCCGCCTCCTGGATCAAATGGTCGTGAAATGACTGTCGTTGCTGATATCGTCGTCGCTGTCGTGGTCGCTGCGTGGAGGAACGAAAACAGGCACAAACATGAACCTTTCGGATGTCCGCGTGAATTTCTTGGATCTGAGCTGGGACTCCCTCCCTGGTGGGGCACAGCGCAGATACAAGAAATCGGCGCGGAGCGTCAAAAACTTGTGTAGGCAGTTGCCTGTTCTTCGATTATGGCCGCCCGGGGGAAAGCACACTGAGGACCGAGGCTTTGGACGTCGTCGTCGTCGTCGTGGTCGTGTTCGTGGTGTCGTCGTAGTCAGCGTCGTCCCGCCACTGTAGTCGATCGAGGAGCAGGAGCCAACGAATCAACGAACCGCCACCACACCGCGAGGCACCCAATGGAGTGTCTCCAAGTCATTTCAAGTTATTCTCCTTGAGCGCGCAGCACCCAGCACCCCGCAGTTGCGGATAATAGTGAGGGGGCGTGCGCGGGGTGGGACGCGGATGTGTTGCGGGTCGGTCGCGCATTGGGTCGCGGGCTGGGTCGCGGGTGGGTCGCGGGCGGGTCGCGGGCGAGGACGACGACGACGACGACGACAAGGCAACAACAATCCGCATCGCGGAAAACACTTCAGCCACGCGCCCAGGAACAGTGAATGTCCGTTCGGCCCCCTCACTCTGATTGCGAACGATCTTTGCGGGCTTCAGACCGCAGCTCACGGGCGTCTGCTGCCCTGAAGGTCTCAGGAGCGAGCTTTGGAAGCTACATTTCCAACATTGCTTGGGATGCTTCCAGGGCCCGTCCGGGAGCCCATTGAGAGCCTCTTCGGCCGTCTTGGAGCCGCTGGGGGCTGGCCCAAGAGACCAGAAACATATAAAAAGTATGTTGTGCATGAGTTTCGCATGCCCACCTCTTCGGCCTGAAGAGCGACCACGACGGTCCACCAGGCCCAGGCGCTCGCTCCAAGCCAGTCCTGGCCCCCCGGAGGCTTCAAAGAGGCCTCCCAAGAGGCCTGTCACGAGCTTCTAGGAGGCCTCGTCCACGACCCGGGCAAGGTGGCGGGATGAACCGACGGCCACTTGATACGTGTAGTCCTTCTCCCGCGGCGGGGCTTGTCAGCGCGGGGGTCGAATCTGGTAACGACAAAGATGCCGTCAAAGAACTGGTGAGCCCGAGGAGGAGCAGCAGCAGCAGCACCAGAAGGATCGAGATATGAGTTTGACGTCTCTTGTCCTTTTGGGGCACCTGGGCAAATTCAGAGACAACCAGGGAGGCATGGGAGGAGCTCAGATCGGAAAAGAGTGGGGAGGTCATCAGGATGAATGCTTTCCCCCCTCCTTCGGCACCGCTCTCGCCCCGTGTTCTGCACAACGCCAGGTCCTACTCAGGAGCATCACCGCTGCCGCCGTGGAAGAGGGGAGAAGAAAGAGAATAACAAGGGATATGTCGACCCCTCCCCTTTCCCCGACTTCGTGGGGTTCAAGAATGACCGACAATTGTGGGACCAAGTAGTGGATACACATCAGGGGGCCGTCCATCCAAGATGTGCGTCCAGATATCCGCCTGGGAATGTATCCTCGAGTTCCCCTCCTGTTCTCCTTCTCTGAGCGGCCTGACGTTTCTTGGAAAGACACGGGATTTGGGGCGATATATCGCCTGTGAGAGACACTCCCTCCGCCTTGCGCAACCAGCTTGAGCTCGAGGGCGTGAGCGTAGCTCGGCGGCGGCAACTGGCCTCTGCCAAGGACTCTTCTCGGGGGGCCCAGCGCCGAGCCTGTTGGCCTCGAGCGCCGCTGGGTGTGCGACGTCGAGCAGAGGCGGGCCCGCTGCTCTGGGAGCCTTTGCTCTTTCTCGCTGGCCGCCTCCGGAGCCTGCACGCGTGGCCGGCGAGCTGGCCAGCCACCTTCTCTCGGCTACACGCAAAAACGACCCTGGGTAAGAGGGACCTTGGTGCGCGGCTTTTTCGGAGCCGCGGGGGCCAAACACACAACCGCGCAAGACGCCACTGCCGCCTCGCGCTCGCGCCCGCACCAAAGGTCACTCCGGCGAAGGGTCACTCTTACGTGTAGTCTATTCTCTCCCTGCGGCGGGCAGGGGGGCAGCCGACAGCAGGAGCAGCACGGGCAGCAATGCGCCGAGGGGCACGCCGCGAGGTGCGCAGCCCGTGGGGGGGGCACGGCGAGGAGCGCCAAAACCAGGCCCAGAGGGGGGCTGGGCGCACAGGCGCGCCCAGCGTTGGAGCAGACGTCGCCTCGAGAAGGGCGCCGCCCCTACAGATGCGCGCCCCCGTCGGTGGCTCGGGCCGCGCGCGAGGTGCCGCTCTCCAAGGCCCGCGCGGCCAGGGTGGCCGAAGGAAGCCGACAGGGGGGGTGGGCAGGCTCAGAGAAGGAAGCAGTGACCTGCAATCGACGACGATACAGAGCAGAGATAGTGCAGCGATGTGCCCCCCGATGGGGACGCCCAGCGTCTTCCTTGGCAGGCTTGGGGGCACCCAGGCCCCGATCGGCGAGGAATGGGCGACTGGAGGTCGGTGGTTCCACTCCTGAGCCAGCCGCCTCCTGCCGGCGCCCCCCGCCAGGAGCCACCTCCACTCAGGGCCCAGATGCCCGCAGGTGCTGCCCTCGGGGCGCGGTGCCCCCCTGCGAGGGACCCGAAGACGAGCCATGCACGCTGCAGAGTAAGCCCCGCCCCCACGATTGGACGCCTCGGCAGATGACCGCATGCCGCGGATAATAAAGGCTCCCCCCCCCCTTTCGCCCCCTCTATCTGATTATCCACGGAGTGTATGTGGGTGCCAATTTCAACAAGAGGCGCGGGGGGGGGGCGAACAACCACCCCCAACGTTCGCATCGCCGCTCTGATCTTCATACCATGCATCGCACCATGAGCAACCCTGGCGACCCATGTTAGGATGTATTACGCGGAACGCACATGTTCGAGGACTTTTTCCGGGAAGAATGTATCATCTTCCCAGGACCCCGAACTCTATTATCCCCAGGGTGCGCTTCTCACCATCATAGGGTTAGTCCGAGCACGCAGGGCAAGCTCGGAGGGCCTTGCGGCATGATGGATGCATCGGGCAGTTCTTCCTGAAAGTGGAAGTCCCCGCAGGAGTACCACAGGTAGAATGCACTTGATATTGCGGTATTTAACAACCACGTGCCGCACTTCACCACGCCTGGGACTTCGAGGAACGTCCGAAGCTTCTTCCATGCTGTATCATGTTGTGAATGGGTTCAACCATCATGTGGCGAGAAATGCGTCTGAGTCGTGACGCTGGACTCTTCGTGTAAAGGATCCCCGCATTCCTATGAATCCCGATGCTACTGGCCTTGGTGTCAACTCGTAGGCGTCTTTTCGGCTCACGCACCGTATAATTTACCAACCGCCTCATCACGGGGATGATATCACAAAGGCCAGATGCTGCCATGCCAAACTCGTAGCGAGTCGCTCCTGACATCTCCAGATGGTGGCCACTGCGCGTTACAGCGAATCGCGTCAGCAATAACATGTGCTGCACAAGCTGTCACCACAATGTCCCTCAATATCATTAGGGAGTGGCACAAGTAAGAGCAAGTTGTAACGTGTTGATCTCGAAGTCATCGATTATTAGATTTGGTCTGTTTGCTGTGACTGCCGCACATGGTCGAACAGAAACAGGGTCGTCACAAGGCAAGTCCGCACCGAAAGAACAGCAGGCATACATCGCTGGAGGCACTGTTTGAGCTCAGCATTCGCTGAGCAAGTGCTTCTCCATCAACCTTAAGCTAAACACAAAGGACGCGGAGTAGTAGGAAGCGTAGGGAGGACATGCCCAAACTGAGGTGCGTTCTAACCCACGCTAGCCTGACGGCACGAACGAGAAATCCAAAACAGGGGACCTCCTCGTGTGCACGCCCGCAGCCCGACATCCCACCGATGTGGCTGCTGCAGCCCTCGGATGGACATCACGCGCACGACGCGGACTGCACACGTCTGCATCGGATCGGGGACGCGCTGACCAGGGCTAGCACCAACCCAGGTGCGACAGGGCTATGCAGCGAACCTGGGCCAGCCACGGAGAAGCTCCAAAACACGGGCGAGCGGAGGGTCAGGAGAAGGCGTCGCTGCATGTGACTCGCGTCAGAAACCCTGAACACCAAGCTGTTGTCATCTCAAGGGGAAGACATATGGTACTTCCGCCGGCCCTCCACATGCGGAGCTGGCCCCGTTCTACCTCCGCCGGCTGGTGCTGGCCTTCCGCCGACTTCCACCAAAGTTGAGGAGCCGAAGGCGAGGCCTTTTCTGGAAGGCCTCACATTAGCGATGAAAAGAGACAGGTCTTGCGCGGAAGGACACAGCGACCTAACGCCGCGGCTTACACGGGCCGCCAGCGTGACACGCCGCTTGAAGAGGAATGCCCACACAGTGGACCCCGTATTCCTTCTGCAATCAGATGCATCCCACACCTGGGCCAGAAGGAGGAGACCAGAGGGGGTCGGTTCACTCCTGCCAAGCGCCGAGCCATCCTCGGCGTCCCCGGCCCCATCCTGCGTCACACGGCGCTGCCCGCCGGCGGCACCACACCCCCTTGTGAGCTGCGCCCCCACGGCCCACCCCCCCTGGCAACACGATGCAGTACCACGCCATGAAGGCCTCTCGCCGACGGCGCGGCGGGGGGCTGTCGGGGACACACTGACCGAGGTCAACGCTAACCCGGGTCAACCAAGGCCACGTCGTGAGCCCTGGCCTGCCGCGAAGTAGCTTCCAGACCCAGGTCACCGGAGGGAGGGGTGGCAGGGTTGGCTCCACGTGCCTCCCAATCGCAGGTCAGCCAGAGGGGCTCCGAGGGGAGGACTGGCTGACCCCCGTCAGCGCCGAGCCCTGCTGCGTGCGCCGCGAGGCGAGCAGAAGCCGGACGGGCCGGCCCGGCTTCGCGCCTCGCGCGAGGCGCGAGCATCGCCATTGCGCTCTCGCGCCGTCCCCGTGGCAAAGCGCGGCGGTCTGTGCGCCCCTGCAGGCTGCCCTGGAGGAGTCGTGTCACACGATGTGGCGTGGCCACCAGCAGCGTCGGGACGAAGCACGGGCAGGGACACAATCGGACAGGGATACAGACATCGCGCCAGAGACGTGCCAAACTCTCCAGGGCCTGGTTCAAAGTTTTCTGGTTCGCGCGCGCGAGAACGCCCCTAGGGGTCCCCGGCCGAAAAGTACCCCGGCAACGGTCCCGACAAGTCCGCCTCAGAGATGGATTTGCTCCTGGGCGCCGCCTTCAGGGCCTCCCGGAAAGCCTCAAGAAGGGCTAAGATGCCCCGAAGAGGTCGCCAAGGTAATCTCAGAGGGCTACGAGACGCCTCATGATCGCTCCAAGACGCCCTGGATTGCCCCAAGACCGCTCAAGAAGCCTCCGAGACGCTCCGAAAATCCTCCAGAAGCATTCCCAAGAAGGCCCCAAGAAGTAAACACCATAGATTTGCATTGCATGTTTCGATGATTTGTTCGTTCTCGCATGTTTAGCTTCTCGACTCTCCAAGACTGGCTAAGAGGCCCACAATCTAGCCCTAAGACGGCCCAGGAGGCCCCCAAGATCGCCCCAAGACGGTCCAAGAGGCCCCCCAAAACGGCCGCAGAGGTTCCCAAGACAGCCCGAGAGGCCTCCAAGACGGCCCAAGAGGCCCCCAAAACGGCTCCAAGAGCGAGCATTGACAGGGGAACCGAATGGACATGTCGAGATCTTGGCCCCAGAGTGTCAGAGGCCCCCAGGAGGCCCCCAAGAGGCCCCAGAGAGGCCCACAAGAGTCCCCAAGAGGCCCCCAAGAGGCCTCCCAAGAGACCCCAAGCAGCCTCCCAAAGAGGCGTCTTGTCCACGACCAGTTTGGCCCAGAGCTGCCACAAGAAGCCATCGAGAGGCCTCCTCCTCATCCTCATCCTCACTCTTCCTCATTCTCATTATCCTTCTTCTCGCTCGCCACGAGCACACAAACAGATAGCACCAGTGCTACAATATAGGCCAGCGGAATGAGCGAAGCGATGAAATAGTCAAGGAACAAGGGGGCGTTTCTGGCCACGGCAGGCCTAGGCAACAAACAGGGTCCACGACATGAATCGAAGGAGCGGCCCGAAACGCAAGCCCCTCCTGAACCCAAAGCGATCCTTGTTTCGGCGCCTTGACTGTACATCGGGATCTCTGAGATGCCGCGACTCTAGGAGGACGTATCGAGCGACGCGGCTGTCTCAGAGGATTTCGGAACGCTCTGAGCGAATTGATCCTCAACCCCACCGTGGAAGAGCAACAAGCTGCATAAACACACTTCCTCTGAGGTCCGCACGGGTTTCCTGGATCAGCGCTGGGCCACCAGCGGCGCCTGTGGCGCCGCCCCAGGAGCAGGGAGGGGGGTCGAGCGCCGATCCGAGAGATCCGCGCAGATCTCCGAGGAATTATGCTTTTGCCGTTTTTGGTCCCACGTCACCAGCAGCATCCACGTCGCCGAAGCGCCCGGGCTGGCCAATGGAGCCACAGGCAAAGCAACAGGAGGTGGCGGAGGAGGGGAATGGGGGCAGGGGAGGGCGGACAAGACGCTGCGCAGACATCCCCACGGCTGGATGACCTAGGGAGGGGATGGGTGATGCCGCTGGAGGGCAGAACTTGAGGATAACTCATGCGAGGACTCAACAGCTCACCAACATACGACCAGCCACCGCTGCCGCCGCCGACGCTAGCCCAATGCATGTCCAGGCGCATAAGGCAAGCCGTGCGCTTCGCGCCTTCCTGCCGATAGTATGGTTTTGTCGACGCTCTCTCTCTCTCTCGTTAACTCTGTCTCTCTCGCTCTCTCTATCTCGCTCTCTCGCTCTCTCACTCTCTGTGTCTCTCTCTCTCGATTTGTATTTCTATCTCTCTCTCTCTTAATACTTCTCTCCATGCATGCATGCGTTGCTCTCTTTAATATGTTCTCTCTCTCTCTCTCGCTAGCTCTAGATCATTATCTCTCCCTCTCTCTCGCTCTCTCTCGCTCTCTCTCTCTCTCTCTCTTTTTGTCTAATTGTTTGTTATCTCTCTCTCTTTCTCTCTCTCTCTCTCTGTCTCTCTTTCTCTCTCTCGGGGGAGGGGGGGACGTCCACGCGCACATGGGGCCCAACGAGGCCTGGGCAGGTACGGCTCGCGGCGGTGCCCCCGTGCGAAACCACCGGAGCGAACAGCCGACGACGGCTGGGAGGAGGGAAAAAACAGGAGGGCGAGGAGGGGAAAGCGCAAGCGACATGCAGGGGCGGTCAAGCGGAGGGTGGAGGAAGGGACGGGGGATACCCGGGGGCGGAAGTCGCACTGTCGCGGTGGCGGGAGTGGACGCACGGAAGGTTGTCGCGGTGGTCGGTGATCGCAGTTGCTTTGGTCGCTGTCGGAGTCGTAGTAGTCGTAGTGCGCAGTGGTGGTTGGTGGCAGCGGTCGTCGGTCGTGGCAAGCGTCGGTCGTGGCAGTCGTCGGTCGCGGCAGTCGTCGTCGTGGCGGCGTCGGTCGTGGCAGTCGTCGGCGTGGCGGCGGTCGTTATTGCTTTAGGACGTCGTTGCGGTCGCTGTGGTAGGGGTGCTGGCCGTGCTAGCGACCGTCGTTATGGTCGCGGTGGTTACGTGGGGGCGGCCTCCACCTGGCCGCTCTTGCTGCGCTGAGCAGCATCTCAGCGCTGCCGAGGGCCAAGCAACGCTGTATCTTCGTCCAGGTGGACGAAATCACGCCCGACCGCTCGGTATCAGGCAAGCCCTGGCCATACGAACGGACGAAGGCCACCAGCTCGTCCGATGGCCGGCCCCCTGTCTCCAAGACGGCCGGGATGAACTCCAGCGCCCCCGCTTCCGGTCGAACGCCGCCGCCGCCCCGACCGTGCGGGCTCTGGCTTGCCTGCGAGCGGCGTTGTCGCTGCGTTCGCAGGTGACAGACCAGTCCACGCAGAGGTTGGCCAAAAAGTGGGCGTCTGGGAGGGGCTCGTCGCCCTCTTCGCGCGGCAGGAGCCAGGCCCCCGCTCCTGGGCCTCCCCCGCCGCGCAGAGCGAGCTGGGCATGACCCCGCCATTATTGGTGGGCTCGGACGTCACTGGGATGCGGCTCGGCACCGCGGGAGCGAATCCATTCTGATCCCACGGGGGATAATCTTTGAAGTGCATGTCGTCAGGCAAGACGAGCACGATATTCGGCTTCCTCGGAGAGACTTCGCGCCGAGAGCCGCGCTCTCCGAGGCCTTCGGCGAGGTCACCTCGTGCCGGCTCTGGAGCAGGGACGCGCGGCACGCGCTGCTGGAGCAGTCCTCCTCCGCGGGAGCAGCGGCGCACGCGGTGCAGTCCTCTGGCGAGGCGGCCGCCGCCGGCGGTGCGCGGGCGACGAAGCAGAGGAGCTGAACGACGGCCGAGCTTGCCACGGCACTGGGGCGCCCAGCACGCCCGCTGGCATTAGCGGGCAGCGCCGACGGGCCGGAGGATCGCCAGTGCGCGGCGCGGGTCCGTCGAACGTGTGCCATGGCAGCTGCGCGCCCGCGGCGGCGGCTGGCGGCCGCCCTTCGCTTGAGCTAAAGGTGGCTTGAGCCAAAATGGCTACGGAGGCTGTTGGGGCCATCTTGGGGACCTTTGGGGCCTGATTGGGCCCTTGCGGGAGGTCTGGGGTCGTTTGTGAGGGTCTTGGGGTCACCGTGGGGCGATCTTGGGCCGCCTCGGCACCGTATTGAAATATTGGGCAATCTGGGTAGCAATTTTGGAGTTGCTGCAAGGAGTTCGACGTCCGCGGCACAATATGAAGTCCTAGCCCCCGAAACACGCAACAAGCAACCAACTCCTTGGATTAGGACAGCGTGCTTCAGACGGTACCACAATTCATGTGGAACCCGATGAACGATCTTGGGATCAAGACGTACCAGTCAAGTACCGGTCAACAGAACTTGATATGCCGGATAGCTCTCTGGTCTCTCGACATAAGTAAGCGCCTCTAACGTCTTCGCATGGTAAGGGCCGTGACACATCTTGCGATGGTGGTGAGTCTTCTCGATCCACGACTGCGCCGCCACCAGGTCCCCGATGGAGACAGAATGCTGAAACGCATAGAAGCATGCCTGGCCTCTAAGAGAGTGGATATGTATGCCCTCCTTTTCGTACAACTCGAGTAGCTCCAGAACTAGTTGAATGCCACGCTCGGGACCCGCAGACATAATCTCTGCATCCAATTCAAGCATTCGGGAGCGGCGTGAATCGATGGAAGTCGTGTCCACAGCATTACAGACACAACAGCTACATCTAAAACGGTAAACATCCCACAATTCGAATGCCCTCTCCGCCTTTGTCTCGCGTATGTCGCGGTAATATATGCACAGCTCATCGCCAACATCAGCTGCAACGGCTGCGTAAATCTGCATCTCAAACGCATCCTCATCCCAACTGGGTTCGCAATTGGGATTGCAGGAATGGTTGAACCGGCTGACCTCTACGCACAATACCGCTCCCATACTGAGATCAGAACCCCGGGCCAGTGAGTTGGTGCTGATGATACCTCTGAGCGTTCGCTCCCTGCGAATGGTGCATGCGTCGTGGAGCGACATCACGAGCTGCTGCTTATTTTCTGGGAGGGCTTCGAACTGCGCCTCGTTGTCTTCGTAATCTGCATTTGACACTGAAACAACTAACGTAGGCTTCTCAGACAAGACGAGCTCACCACACTGAATGTGTCTCGTGGCAATCGCAGCAAGTCCTTTGCCTTCGATCGGAATCACTTCGAAACACGGTGCATATGCCATCGTGGATATCTGGCCACAAATTGGCCGACGGCAACCACATTGCTTGAGGCCGAATGTTCCTCGAGACAAGGCTACGGAAGCCATCTTGGAAGCGTCCTGAGCACTCTTGGGGGCATCTGGCATCTTAGGCAAGACCCTGGAAGCTTTCGGGGCCCTTCTTGCAGCACTTGTGAGCGGCACAAGTCAAACAACCCCAAACATGTACTAATGCGAGATGGGCGTTAAGCACAGGCATCGTATCGCGTCTTGGGCCCCCGTTGTTCCATATGTGGGCCTCTTGGGCCGTCTCGGGGGCCCGCTGGAGCCCTCTTAAGCCATCTTGGTAGCCTTTCGGCGCCCTTTTGAGACCCCTTGAGGGCGACTGAGACCAACCAAGCCCCCAACTTGGCAGAGAACGGTAAACTTGGATCTGTGTGGGGGGGGAGGGGGGTTGGCGGTTCCCCTCACACTCCCTCCAGCTGGTCGCTCCGCCCGACAACTAACGGTTCGCATGCTAACCCTAGCGGCCACGAAGACACAGCGAAACGATGACAAGGTGCCCAGGGCAGAAACGATATCCTCAGCGAAAGCTGGCTTATCTCAACAGATCATATTGGAACCATATCACTGGGAACCACAAGGACAACACGCGTGCGCTCGTGCCAAACTCAGATCCATCACATCAGACCTGCAACTAGTTTACGACAGCAAACAGACACGCCTTATCACTTCCAGTTAAAGTAATGCATGTTCGGGCCCGCGCGCAATGGCTGATTCACCACAACAAAGCGTGAGCCTAGCAATCTCATTCAGAACCCGCTGCAATCGCAGCAAAACCTTTGCCGTCGATCGGGACCACTTTGAAACACGGTGCATATGCCATCTTGGAAATATGTCCACACATTGGCCGACGGCAACCAAATCGCTTGAGGCCGAATGTTCCTCGAGATAAGGCTACGGAAGCCATCTGAGAAGCGTCCTGAGCACTCTTGGGGGCATCTAGCGCCTTAGGCAAGACCCTGGAAGCTTTCGGGGCCCTTCTTGCAGCACTTGTGAGCGGCAGAAGTCGAACAACCCCAGACGTGTATTAATGCGAGATGGGTGTTAAGCACAGACATCGTATCGCGTCTTGGGCCCCCGTTGTTCCATATGTGGGCCTCTTGTGCCCCAAAGTGCAGAACACGGTAAGCTTGGATCTGTGTGAGGGGAGGGGGGTTGGCGGTTCCCCTCGCACTCCCTGCAGCTTGTCGCTCCGCCCAACAACTAACGGTTCGCATGCTAACCCTAGCGGGCACGAAGAGACAGTGAAACGACGACAAGGTGCCCAGGGCAGAAACGATATCCTCAGCGAAAACTACTGATCCCAACATATCATATAGGAACCATATCACTGGAAAACCGCAAGGACAACACGCGTGCGCTCGTGCCGAACTCAGATCAATCACATCAGACCTGCAACTATTTTACGACAGCAAACAGACAAAGCCTTATCAGTTCCAGTTAAATGTATGCAGTGTTCGGGCCCGCGCGCAATGGCTGATTCACAGAAACACAGCGTGAGCCTAGCAATATCGTTCAGAACTCGCAGTCTCTCCTCACTACACGGTGCATGTGCGTTGATCTAGCACGCGCCCGTCGCACGATCATGAATACCATAAGACCATGCGGGCCACATGCTCGCACCGCCACGCGCGCGTCGAAATCATTGAAAAACCACACGTGTTCGAAACTGTCAAGATAGAACTACCCGAAAACGTTCCAGCCACAAATGTCCTGGTGCCTTGGTTCTTTCTGCGCGCGCGCCCTTCCCCACCATCACCGTCACCAACGCCATCGCATCACCGCTGTAACCGTCATCGCTAATCGCCGCCATTGCTGCCACCATCAATCAATATCCTTCATCACCGACGCGTGGACATCATCATCATCATCATCATCATCATCATCATCATCATCATCATCATCATCATCATCATCAACATCGTGGCCATCAACACCGCCATCATTGATCTTGCCGTCATCGCCGTCAACGCCACCACCATCGCTACTATCATCATTGTTGCCGCCCATGTCCACAGTATCGTTATCTCGTACCCGCCCGAGTCACCGGAACGCACTGAAGTGCCCGTGCGCCAGCGCTGTCTTGGAGACGCGCTGTGATCTTCCAATCGGTAAGCGCCATCGCAGTCGCATCAGTTGTGCCAAACCAGCTGGCCGCTCTGCGCGCGAGAGTGTTCGCCCAAGGGCGGCCGCAAAGATGCGCCAGCCAGTGCTAAGCAGCCGCTGCAATCAAGACAGCATGGGTTTTGCAAAACAAGTTTCGGGTGGGAGTGTGGGATGTTTGCACGAGCAGTGGAGTTGACAATTATTACCGACTTGGTTGCTGGCACCACATAGATTGCAACGCATAGCTAACAACACAAATGTTGCATCCTTCGCAGGGCGCATCGCATAGCTTGTCGAACAACGATTGCAAATCGAGTGTACAATCGCCGGCACGTGTGGGCCCGCGCTGGCAAACATCCCGTGCCTAAGTGTTGTTTTGATGTGTCCGCTGTCCAGCGCTCTTCGGTCGAAGATCGGCCCACTTGCGGCCTTCAACGGCCGAACGGGGCCCACGGGGAGCACAAGAAGGCCCCAGTCGGCCTAGGACGGCCCACAGAGAGCCCCAAGCTGGCCCAAGAGGGCTTCCAGAGGAACCTAAGACCGCCTGAGAGGGCCCATAGATGGCGCCTGAGAAGGCCCCACTACTGGCCCACAACGACTCCATGCGACCCCCGGATGGACGACACTGGCCCCAAGACGGCCCTGGAGGGCCCCAAGACGGCCCAAGAGAGCCGCAAGGGACCCCCCAGAGTGCCAGTCAGGAGCCCGAGACAGCCCCCAGACGGCCCAAGGAGTCCCCGTGAGAGCTCCGCATGCAGGCCGTCTGGGCCGTCCTCGACAGGTCGCCACACGGAGTACGTCGCTGACACCGTTGCGGATCTGCCGCGGGAAACTGGATACACCGGTCCAGCTGATGGATTGGAGAAGCCAACGGCCAACACCGTGCAGATGTTGGCTCGACCACGAGATGCAAACAAAAGCTGACGAGCAGAACTCGGAGCCCTCCGCGGCTTGAGCCTGCCACTGTCTCCTGCCAGAAGCTCCTCCGTCATAGGGCGACGCAATCTATACATATCCACTGCTCCCTGGCCAGGCCCATCCTGAACACAGCAGCTGTGTATACGCCACGCCCTCCTGGTTTGGCCAGGAGGGCGTATACACAGCTCCTGGGTTCAGGATGGGCCTGGCCAGGGAGCAGTGGATATGTATAGATTGCGTCGCCCAACCGTCAAGGGGACGGAACTGTTCATGCCTGTGGCCACCAAGCTGCTGCTGCTGGTCGGTCTTTCTGGCGGAGGTCTCGGACTGGCGCTCCCTTTGCTGCAATTGATGGTGACAGAGGCCAGCCGAAAAAAGCAGCTGGGGGTGATGAAGCAACGGGCCAAAAATCGCTTGAGGCCGCTCCCGGCCAGTCAAAAATCATCGGACGAACCAAACATCAAACTACAACACTCACTCACCCAAACCAACTCGGTTCCGAGTCCACTCCCATGCTGTGAGTTTCGCCTCGTGGTGAGCCGTTCTTGCCTTCACGAAGGCGTCAGCACGGCCCGCGCCGCCCCCCGTGGACGAGTGGCTCTGCGTCATCGGGCCGGAGGCCGCCCGCCAGAGCTGCGGAGGCCTCCCCCGGATCCCAGCCGTGCCCCCCACGAGCGGGTCCTGCGGCGGAGGCAGGCTGCGTGACCGCGGCGCCCCGTCAGCAGCAGCAGCGGCAACGGTGGCCCGGGCGGACGTGCTGCATGAGCGGGTCGGGCCTGTCCTGAGGAGCCAGCGGCAAAGAAGGGGCCCCGCGGGGCAAGGACGGCGCCCACGGACCGAGCGCGGAGAAACAGTAGAAGTAGTATACGTGACTAGTAGGAGTAACCAGGAGCACCGTTGTTAGAACTATGAGCCTGCTTTTGAGCAGGGGGCGGAGAACGAAGAGAACGACCAGCAGCAACGGCGGCAGCAACTGGAGGCAAATAAGGCAAGAGACAGAAAGAGAAACTGCAACGGAGGCCTGGACAACCACGATCGTGGTGTACAGGGCGCACTTCCATAGCCGGCCCACGAGGTGGATGGGATTCCACGGCCACGAATGCCACAGATACCTGCCGGGGGTCCCAAACGTGCTGCGGTGACAGACCGTGCGGTGACCTCCGAATCGTAGAGGACCCTACCGCACGGCCCGTCACCAGCCGGTCTTGGGACCTGTGGAGCCCGCCGCCGCCCGAGACATCCTCGCCGACCTTACCCTCAGTCCCAGAATCGCGCGGTCACGTCGAGGGAGGGAAGGAGGGAGGGAAGGAGGGAGGGAGGGAGGAAGGGAGGGAGGGAAGGAGGGAAGGAGGAGGAGGAGGAGGAGGAGGAGGAGGAGGAGGAGGAGGAGGAGGGAAGCCTCACTGACGCACCGCGCGGTGTGGCCGCCGCACCGCCCGGGGGCCCCCGATCCTGGCACCTTCCTTGAGGATGTGACGCAGTGGCCTTCACTTCAAGCGTCTTCGTAAACGGGGCGGTCCAGGTCCAGATTGAACACAGCTCTCACGACACATCAGCTCGAAGAAAGCGCCCAGGGTCCAGCCCTCATTCCTGGAGCTTGTTGTTAACATGTCTGATTCGTCACGGCACTTTCACAATGTCGTGGCGGACACGACGGGGGGGATAGCAAACGGGGGTCCAGGAATCAGCACCCCAGGCACTGGAGGCGGCCATGTGTCCAGAAATGCGCCCGGCGGCGAGGCCGAAACATACACTTTCGGAGCTCCGCGCGGGTTTCTTGCATCGGCGCCGCTGGACTCCCCTCCCCTCCCTTGCAGCGCCTCTGGCGCCGCCCGGCGCGACAGGGCCGGCGCCAGAGGCGCTGCGAAGGCGGATTAGCTCCGATCCAAAAGATCCACGCAGACCCCCGAAACATTATGTTTACGGCAGGTTCGTGTCGTGCCGACTCCAGCGTTGGTTTCTGACAACTCGGGGATCGTTCGACCTTGAACGATCGGTCGTTCCCGAAACGTCGGATCTTTCAACATCGACCGATTCTGAGTCGCTGGCGGCGTTCCACGTTGAACGCGGGCGGCGGGGTCGCCGCCAATCGACATGACGCGAACCTACTGTATGCCGTTTTCTTCACTGACTATCCCCTCCTCCTCTCAATCAGCCCCGAGGACGGCACCTGCTGGGATGGCAACTCTTGGAGCACCACGTGGGACCTGCTCTAGAACAGGAGCATACCGTAGTCGGATCTACCCTTCCTTCGACCTTGTACTGCGTCGAACGCAACGGCCGTGTCGTCTATAGACATATCCATCCCGAATGTGTGTATATACGTAGCGACACCCAATGTGCCCATAGACACTTGTGACTAAAAAGTGTCAGCTGTACTTCAAGACCAGTCTTCTAGCATAGCCTTGGCCCTCAAAATCAGTTCCACCCAGATCGCCACGGCTAGTCGGAGAAAGCAACGGCATACACGGTAGGTTCGCGTCGTGTCGGCCGGCGGCGACCCCGCCGCCAACCTTTAACGTTGAACGTCGCTGGCGACCCAGAACCGGTCGATGTTGAACAATCCGACGTTTCGGAAACGGCCGATCGTTGATGGGTGAACGATCCCCGAGGTGTCAGAAATTAACACCGGGATCGGCACGACTCGAACCTGCCGTAAGCATACCGTTTCGGAGGTCTGCGCGGATTTCTTGGATCGGCGCTGGACCCACGTCATTATTTGTTTCCCGATGCTCGCGCATAAGGACCATGCGATACGAAATCTTGCTACAAGTAATCGATCGGGGCACGATTGTCGTCGAGCGCTGCGCTGGTGGAGCTGCCCAAAGGCTTCTGTTGACTTGCCGGTCTCTGACTTGACTTTCCTGCTGCAGTCTTCACTTGCGATGCAAAGGTACGCAGAGGACAGAAGACGCCAATGAGTATTTTTAGAAGAGCAATGAGCCAGAATGTATCGATGAGGCCAGACGAGAGTAGCGAACAAGACAAGGAGCGTCAAACCACCATAACCTTGATATCCGTCGGTCGCATGCTTTGCACACCAGACGTTTCCAGACGTTTGCTGCCGGTTGCGGGCCCCAAGGCCCTCACGTAAGGTCGCTCCTGCTAGAGAAACGCGTCGTGATGTTTCACGGTGTCGCAATTGGCTTGCGTCGTCGGATCTCGAGGCGTCGGGCAGGAGAGAGGCGAACTCGCTCCGTCGCCCTCGCCCGCTCGATCCGTTTGCAGCTGCGCCTCGAGCGGCGGCAAGACTTTGGGGGGCAAGGGGTCACGCCGCGCTTGCCCTGAGCCCGTCATCTTTGCCGTGAAGGGGCCTGCCGTCACACCTCGTCACGCGGCCCAGCTGGCGCCGCTGGTGCCATCCGCCATGCGCCCTCCAGATCCTGCTCCTCCTTCGCCCCCGTACTGCTCATGGTCTTCCGTTCGCATATCCGACGATGTGATGTGTTCAGTTCGCGGCCCTAGAGATCCCGACCCCTTCCCCTGGGGTAGTTTTCCGCCCCAGATCCATGTTTGATGGCCCACGGGCCAGATCACAGGCCCCAGAAGCTGAAATCGACGAAACGCGCCTGGATTGAACCAAAGCTGATCGTCGGAAATCTGGGTCCTCCCCGCCCGTGGTCCTTTCGGTGCTCGGTGATGTCGCCGTTTGTTTGTTTGTGTTTCGTTTCAGCGTGCCGCTCTTTACAAGCATTACCCCCAAGACCAAGATTTCTGGAAATAGTGTAAAAAAAAACGGCCCTGCCGTCTGCAAGGACCACCAAGTCCCCACCCCACCCCCCTCCTGCTCCTGCGCCTCCACACCTTCTCTGGTCCAGTTTCCACCACCACAACCATAGGTAGGACGAGGGAGAATGGAGGATGGGAAGGTCCTCCTCCTCCTGCTCTTACGCCTCCTTCTTCTCCTCCTCCTCCTCCTCCTCCTCCTCCTCCTCCTGCCCCTCCTCCTCCTCCTCCTCCTCCTCCTCCTCCTCCTCCTCCTCGTTGTTGTCCTCCTCCTCCTTCTCCTCCCCCTCCTCCTCCTCCTCCTTCTCCTCCTCCTCTTCCTCCTCCTCCTCCTCTTCCTCCTCCTCCTCCTCCTCTTCCTCCTCCTCCTCCTCCCTCTCCTACCTACGGTAGTGCTGGTGGAAAACTTGCCCCATCAGGCCCCCCCGTCAAGCCGAAGGCGCAGGCCAGGGGCACAGAAGCAGGTACACGGGCAGAGTGAGGATCTGCGCGGGCGCACCGCGGGGGCCGGAGGGGAGGGACCGCACCTCATAGGGAGAAGCTTCGATCGAGAATCGAAGAGGATCGAGGACGATCGAGGATTGAGGATCGAGGAGGAGGATCAAGGAACGAGGAGGATCGAAGAGGAGGATCGAAAAGGATCGAGGATGATTGAGGATCGAGGCCGAAGATCCCTGACAAGATCACAAAGGAGGGGGGCATCTGGGTCTGGATAGGGCGCACACTCGAGGGCAAAAAGCGCTGACAAGACTCGGGCACGGCGTGTCTACATCGCGATGGCGTCGGCGTTGGCTCCTGACAACGCGTGGATCGTTCAACTTCGAGCGATGGAGGATAGCGGCGCTCATCCTTGAACGCCTGCGCTGGGGACCTCCGCTGCGCCAACGCAGAGTTAGCCTACCGCAATCCCGTCTTCCTTGATGTGGCTGGGGCTACCTGGACAGAAAACATCGGGATAAATATGTACTTAGGGAGATCCGCGAAGATTTCTTGGATCGGCGCTGCACCCCCGTCCCTGCCGCACGGACCAACGGTGAGACGCTAGGGAAGGGGGCGGCGACGGAGATGCCGCCAGGGCAGACCTCCTGAGCTTATGATTACGACGAAGGTTCTTCTTCGAATCCTTCTATCTGGGGGCCCAGGGAAAGACAGAGAAAGAGAGAGAGAGAGAGAGATCTGGGGGGACTGAAAAGCTACCAATACCGCTACTCCACGGACCTCTCCCAGGGTGCGTTCCGACGGACGGCGACGGACGACGACGACGACGACGACGACGACGACGACGACGACGACGACCACGACCACGACGACGACGACGACGACGACGACGACGACGACGACGACGACGACGACAACGACGACGACGACGACGACGACGACCGCGGCGGCGTCGGCGGCGGCGGCGGCGGCGGCCGCGGCGGCGGCGGCGGCGGCGCGCGAGCGGCGGCGGCGGCGGCGGCGCGCGAGGCCGGCACTGTGGCCGTGAGTGGGGCCTGTCGTCCCTCTCCCGCTCGCCCTCCCCCCGTCCTCCCTTCCTCCAGGGAGAGGGCCGCTCGCGATGAGGCGCAGGCGAGGCTGGCGTGGAGCGATCTCCTCACCTAGCCTCGTCTGGCCTTTCTCACCTTGTTCTTTCCCCTCTGCCCTGTCGGGGCCTGGAATGGCCGGTGGCGGCAGTGGTACTCGCGCCACCCAGCCCGCCCGCCTGTATGCGAGATAAGCGGGACGCTCTATCCGACGTTCGACGACGACCCTCCCTCCAGATCCGTGCAGGGAAGGGCCTGCCATGGTGGGCGTTTGCTGGCTTCCGCTCGCGGCGCCGCGACTGCAGCCTCGAACCCCATGAAGAAGGATACCCAGAAAGAGAGAGACGGGGAGTTGCTACAGGTGCCCCTGGCCCGCGGTGCCCCCAGCTTTTCGCTCCATTCGACTTTGGAGCTGCCTCGGCCGATGTTCCGCAGACTGGGCTGCACGGAGAAGTGACCCTAGGCTAAAGTGACCTTCGGTGCGCGGCTTACCGGGGGACGCGGGGTGGTTAAACCCACGCGCGCAAGCCGCTGCTGCCCCTTTGGGCCCGCACCAAAGGTCTCTCCGGCGACAAATCACTCTCACGTCTAGCCGGTGAACCCAGACCCCTTCTGGTCATGAGCGATGACACGATTGCGGATTTTCACAATTTCAGCCTCCCTCGCTGGGCCCTGGGACCGTTTGCTTTCACCAACCTTCCGCCGGCTTCCGCCAGAAGGGGCCTCCCTCGTTTCGTTTTTCTTCCGTTAGCGCCCACCCGCAAAGAGATGTCAACTTCTCGATCACTCGAAAGACGACGCCCTGTTCACAGATATCCGAGATAATGCTTGTTTGGATCCGGCGTTTCCTGGAAGTCCCGACCCTTTTCTCAGGATCGACTTTACATCCTGAGTCGTTTCTTGACTGGCCTGTTGCCCATGGCGAGCGCCGCGACGAAAAACCTGCGCATTGAATTGTCAAACACGCGGGATCAGTCAGCATTCAATCGGCAAATCGCGTCGAATCGAAACGAGCATCGAGTCGAGCTGCATCGGCTCAGAACCGAACTCGAACCGAACCGGCTGCGACCGGATGCTGAACTGGGCTGTGCCAACATCGTTGAGCATCGGGTCGCCATGAACTCGAAAACAAGTCGGATCAAACCAGATAACTTCTGCATCGATTCGGGTCGATCGAATAGGAATGGGCCCCGATACGTTGGAGGTACGAGCCTGGAACACGCCGCATCCCCGGCAGACTCGGGTCAGAGATGGTTTTCCTCCTGGGCGCCGCCCCCGTGGCCCTCCAGAGAGCCCCAAGAAGGGCCACGAGGCCGCCAGGAGCCCTCCAAGATGGTTCAAGAGTGCTCCGAGATGCCACATGATCGTTCCAAGACGCCCAAGATGGCCCCCATACGCCCCAAGAGGCCTCCAACAGCACTCCCCAGAGGGCCCCAAGAGGCAAAAATCATTACTTGTCCTTAGGTTTTGGGCAGATTTTGGCGTGTCCATCTTTTCGGCTCCCCGACGCCCCAAGACGGCGCAAGAGGCCCCCAAGATCGCCCCAAGAAGGCCCCAAGATGGCCCAAGAGGGCTCCAAGACGGCCCCAGAGGCATCCAAGACGGCCCAAGAGAGGCCCAAGAGGGCCCCAAGCGATGCCCCAAAGGGGGAACACAACACAAAACTTCGAGCCCTCGGCCTTAAGAAGCCCCCAGGAGGCCTCAAGAGGCCCCTGAGAGGCCTCAAAAGCCCCCAAGAGGCCCTCAGGAGGCCCCCAAGCGACGCTGAAGAGGCCCCCCAGCGGCCCCAAGAGGCTCAGTCATGCGAAATGGGCCGGCGGAGTGAGCGAAGCGATTCAATAAGGACCCACGATAAGGATGCAGAGGCCTTGGAAAGCCTTATCGACAATTTGCGAGCGGGGCGCGGCCAGCGAAAGCGGCCCCTGAAGGGCCGAAGCGGAAGAATGCAAGGGTAAACTTAGAAAATTGATCATCCGGGTTAACTGTAATCGACGTCAGTGCACCCTAGAGACGGAACCTACCATGCCCTGCCTCCAAACATGACTCGGCGGAGGAGAGACGGCCCCCACGGGCAACGAGCTGCGCTGACACGCTGCGAGGCCTCGCGGCTCCCTCGGCAATTATCAATCCAGAGCTTCAGGGACAGGGGGCCTTCTCTGCAGATGTATCGGGCCAAACCACCTAGATTGATGACCCCTGACGCAAACAACGGGGTCCCAAGTAAGGCCACGTCTTCCCTGTGCTCTTAGGGATAGGGGCTCGTGAATTCTTGATGACTCGGCGCAGGACATGGGGGCGGCAGATGGGGCCGCCGCATCTGCACGCTGCGGGCGCCCTGGGGCAGGAGCAGTCAGCATCGAACCAGCAGAGCGGATGCTCATCGAGATGTGCATCGACCCGCATCGGCACGGAGCCGAAGTCGAGTCGGAGCGGCTGCGCCAGGATGCAGAGCAACGCCCTGCCGCATCGGGACCTCAGAAGATCGGACTTGAATCGGATCGGGCTGGCCCGAATCGACATCGAATCGGGCCGATCATACTGAAGTGGGCGCGCTCCTGCCTGAGAGGTTCTGGCCTCGTCGGGCCCAGCTCCGAGGCGCCTGGCCCAAAGGCGGCCCGCGCGGCCCCCAAGAGACAGCCTCCGGGGCAGGCCTCTGGGCCCGTCTCGCGCACCCGCCGGGAGCGCGGAACGGGGAGTGGGGGGGCGGAAGGAGCTTCAGCATGGAGACGTTCCGCGCGGGGCATCCGCAAAAAAACGCCCCGTGTACACAGCGTCGCGGCCCAGGGGCCCGGCCCGCGAGGCCGCGGATACGGAGATGCGTTTCACCCACGATCGAACTGGGAGCCTGGAAATTGGCATGAACACCAACATGGGTAGGGTGCTCCCCCCACGGGAGGCTGATTCTGGATTTTGGTGCTCGTGGTAATCCCTCGGCAACCTAGGGAACCATAGTATTACCAGCATCGCCGAGATGTCAGGATCATCTTCCCTCGGTGGAGGCAACCGCCGACACTGGTGTTGGTGCCAACCTCCAGGCCTCCAAAGGAAGCCATGAGGCGCATGGGGGGAGGGAAAAGAACAATCAGACTCGTTTGCATGCAGACAAATACGCAAGCAAAAATACAACATCTGCGCGAAACAAAAGCCTCACTGCCAACCAATCTAAGGGCACGGCATCCGTCGATCTCAAGTTCCGTACGATTCCTCAGGATTCTGCTTGGGCCCCAAGGGTTCACTCGGGGAAAGTGTAGTTGTCTTGGTTGGCATACTCATTGTGCCCGCGAGAAGGCCTCTGTACCACCCCCAAGTACATGCCCATTTGGAAGCGATTAGGACACATGGCCAAAAGATGTTTGAACCGTTCCACTCTCGAACTTCTGCGCGATCGGCTGGCGAGCGACTGCGACCAGTTCCCTGCGCAGGCTATAGCATCTCGTCCTCCTTGCCCTTCTCCCTCCTAGTTCCTTCACCGCTCTTCCTCCATCCTCCGTCAAGGCACTCCACCAGAGCGACGCTTTTCTAAGTCGCTCGCGCCCCAATCGCTCAAGGACGTCATGGCCTGGGCATGGTGCAGCTAAACACTGCCGCATGACTGCAACTCGACGCTGCGTCGTGGCCGCAAACCTGGTTAAATAGGACTGAATAGCTGACAGAACTCCGGCCGACGGAACAGGTCATGCTTCGGGCTCAAACTGCCCAGCATTTGCGGCGGTACAAAACACACAATACGAGAGCTCCTTGTGCCCAGTCGGACCGAGTCGCTTGGCGACGAAAATTCAGCTCCTGCCTTGCGTGCGTCGAAGAGCGGAGGCGCAGAACACACAATACAAGAGCTATTTGTGCTCTATCGGCACGAGTCGCATGGAACTGGCGACGAAAATTCAGCTCGTGTGTGGCGCGCGTGGCACGTTACTAAAGTTACCGTTTAAATTGTCAAGGGCCAATTTGGTCTGACTGCTGAAGGCAAACGCGGAGGCCGAGGGAGGAGGGGAAGGAGACAGCCATCGCACAACCTTGAGAAGCGCCACACAAGAGACGATATGGCCTTTCTGGCCACGGAGCGCCCTGGCCAAGTCTGTCGACCCAGATCCCAGGAACGGCCCCGAAACCAGGGCCCCTCCTCAGCCCGACATGGCCATTCCTGCAGCGTCTTGGCTGTGGAGGGGGGATGACCAGGAGGGGGGGGAGACGGCAGGGAGGTGTCGATACGTAATCCTCAGGACGTGTTAGCGCCAACGTGTGCTTGTCCACCGAGGCCCTCCAATACGACGCAGGCGGCGCAACGAGGGCGGACAAAGGCTGCACGCTATCGGCGGAGCCGAACTGGGTAAACCCACATTTGGGCCAAACCGCATGACTTGAGGATCATCGGAAGGGGCCAGAAATGGGTGGGTCACAGAGCAACTTCATCGGCCTAGCTTCACCCTGGCCGGGGCCTGCCTGCGGTGGCGCACGGCCCCCCTCTCGCTCAGACCGAGCCCTCTCCGCCCGCGGCTTCCTCGCGAGAGGAGCCACCTGTGCTGGCGGGGCCATCCTCGGAGGCAGACCGAGACCCGGACCCCTCTGCGGACCTGCTCGCGGTGGATCTGGTGGAGAGGGCGCCCTGCTGGCGCGTCCAGCTGTCGTTCTTGCCCGCACGGAAGGACTGCGCGGAGAGGCCGATGTGCCGCGGAGTCCAGCCCCCTTCCATGCCAGCAGCTCTCTCCGAGGCGCCCGGATCGTGCTCCTGGTCCTGCTCTTCGTGGTCGTCCTCGTCCTCCTCGCTGTCGTCCTTCTGCTGACGCTCGAAGCGCTGCACGACGATGACGCAGCCGTCCACCACCTGCTCTCCTCCCAGGGCGAGAGCGCGGCGAGCACCCTCGGGCGTGGCCATGTGCACGAAGCCCAGGCTGCTGGGGCGGCGGCGCGGGCACAGCGTCTGCTCCTCGCGTAGACAAGCGCGCTCCACGACTCGCAAAGCAAGCACTCGCAAACGGCCTGGATCCGCCGCGGGAGATCTACGATGCGTTACGTAAAGGAAGGCGTGATTTGTTGTTCGGACGTTTGCGAGTAGGCACTTTGCGAGTAGTGGAACGCGCTCCGTGATCGTCAGCGAAACTCATATCCGTATCCGCGGCCTCGCGGGCCGGGCCCCTGGGTTCGCGGATGCCCCGCGCGGAACGCATCCCTGAGACCCCGCATCCGCGGGATCACAGCCTGGGACAGATTCGTCGCCCGTGAGCTCCCCACTCTCGTGGAGGGTGGAGTGCGCCAGGAGCACCTGCGAGACCGGGCCGCAGCCGGAGAAGTGCCGCTTCAGCCTCCTGGGCGCCTGGAAGCCCAGCCTGTTGATGCGGCGGACGACGAAGAGGCAGTCGGGGTCCTCGGCCGCGAGCAGCTGCAGGCTGGACGAGAGCGTCTGCGCCGGCCCGTGGGCGCCCTGCTGGGGCACCTCTGGCGGCACGGCCGACAGGCGGGCCTGCGGCCCTCGCGGGCGGGGCTGCTGCCACGGCGGCCGCGCGAGGAGCTGCTCCTCCTGCTTCGCGTGCGCCCGCGGGCCGAGCTGGTGGCCCTGCTGCTGCCGTGGCCTGGGCGGCGCGCCGCCTGTGGAGGGGCGGGGGGGGCAAGGCAAGCCGTGGCTGTGTCGAGCGATGCGGGCTGGCCCCCGGAAACGGATCAGAAGGGACACGCAGTGCAGACTGCATAAACATGCACTTTCGGAGATCCGCGCGGCTTCCTTGGATCGGCACTTGACCGCCCTGGCGGCGCTCAGGCGCCGCACCTGGCGCGCGGAGCGCGCCAGGGAGTGGGGTTCAGCGCAGATCCAGGACATTCGCACGGACCTCCGAAAGTGAATTATTCCCCCACCCGGCAAACTAACAAAAAAAGTGAACTGTTCCCCCATCAGGCGAAAAGAACATACAACAAAAGATCCCGACCTGCATCGCACACTCAGCATACAACGGCCGCTGGGCCCCAAGGGTCCCGGTGCTCCCTCGATATCCCGTCTCGCGTCTTCGACGAATGACGGGTGGCCAGAAGGGGCTCCAGAAGGGGGACCTGGACACGGCCCCCAGATCATCAAAAGCCTTCCGGTCGTCCTCGTCCTCCTCCTCCTCCTCCTTCACCGTCATCGTCGTCCATTTCATCCTCTCCCTCCCTCTCCACCGGCGGAACGGCGTCAGCCCCTTGTTGAGCCATGTCATGGCTTGTTTTCCACTTCGAGCCTTCCGAGCCCGCTGGCGGGCCTAGGCGCAAGGCGCCCGGGCGCTGCGCGGCTCTCGCGGCCGCGCCGCTGCCACCGGTCACGGAGAAGGCCCGCAGCTGGTGGAGCTGGCGGAGCAGGGCCTGCTGCTCCTCCAAGAGCTGCGCCTTCATTTGCTCCACCGCGTGGAGGTGGGGCATCGAGGTGAAGATGCCCCCGGCGGCGTGCGTGCTCGCGATGATGCCGTCCAGCGGCTTCGCGCGCTGGATGTTTTCGTGCGCCTTGTCAAGGATCGCCAGGGCCGCCTTCATCCCCCCTGCGTCCAGGAAGGGGGCGGCCGACAGCACGGCCTCAACCCACTCGCCCGACGAGCCGCACGCCTGCTGCTGCATCAGGTGCTCCTGCAGCAGCACATGCTGTAGCTGCTCAGCCTGAGCCAATTCCTCGTTCTGCATGTGGTCCCACAGGAAGCCCGCGGACGTGGTGGGCGGTGCCGCGGGAACCGCTTGCTCTGGCGACTGGGTGGCGTATTGCACCATTTGCGCGAAGTCGATCATGCCGGCTGCGGCCCCGCCCACTTCGGACCTTCCGGTTACCACGAAGGGAGCGGGCCATGCCCACTGGTCACGCTGAGTCGTTTTGAAAACGCCCTCAGGGTCCAGGGAGGGCTTCGGGAGCCCAGAAACTAAAGGAAGAAAGAGACAACTGCACAACCATGGAGCGGAGCTCAGTAGAGGCCTCCTGGATGGGCTCCGCCTAGATGGGGTCGGAGGATCGCGCCACATCGCTGGTGTACCAGCGATGCCCCAGCGATGCATCATCGAAGACGCATCGGCGACGTCGGCGTGGAGAAAATCGGGCTCCACATCGAGCCGCATCGCCGATGCATCCCCGATGCGGGGAGATCCTCTGACCCAATCTGCTCGGACCCCATCTGGGAGGCCTAGAACAACCAACAAATTTCGACAATCTGCGCGGATGTCTTGCATCTGCGCTGCACCACCACCCCATTTCCTGGCGCGTGGAGCGCATCAGTGGCGGCGCTTGAGCGCCGCCAGGGGGTCAAGTGCAGATCCAAGAATCCGCGCGGAGCTCCGAAAGTCTATGCTCATGCAGACGTCCTCGAGAAGCGGCGCAAGAGCCGCGGCCCCCAGGACCCCGTTCCTACAGTCATAGCGCTACCATGAGGCCTCGTCCACAACCAGGTCCCCCGACTCAGATCCAAGAGAACCCGAGCCCCTCCCGAGCCCAAAGTGGAGTGGCCCTTCTGTCAGCGCCCTGGCTGTATGCCAATGCAGACTTCCTCGAGAAGCGACGCGAGGGCTCCAGGACCCGCTGCCCCCGTAGGACCCCGCCCCTGCCGTGGCGGACCTCACGTCCTCGAGGCCGGGCGGCGGCGGCACCGCGAAGCGCATCGGGGGCTCCCACGGCGTGCAGGGGAGCTCCATGGCTCTCGGGCCGGGAGGCAGGCGCGGCGCCAGCACCACCACCAGCACGGGGAGCCGGGGCCCGTCGTCCGATGGTGGTGCAGGATCGGTCCGCACGGGATCGGGGAATCGGATCGAACCAGCACCTCCGTCGGATCGGGCTGCATCAGCACGGGGTCGGGATCGAATCGGATCGGCCGCGCCAGCAGGCACCAGAGCGCCACGCAAGCATCGGGCCGCATCGGATTGTCGGAGCATCGGGATCGAATCGGATCGGGCCGGCAAAAGCCGACATCGAATCGGATCTCTCGGACCGAAATGGAACTTGAACCTGTGGTGTGGTTCCCCCCCCCCCTCCCCGCTCGAGACACCCCCTGTCCCTAGCTCGGGGAGGCATCGTGGGCCTCCTCGCCGGAGGCCCTGAGCTCCGACGTTGCAAATGAACATTCACCATCGCGAAACATCAGGACCAGAGCCCTATAGACCCCACCTACCTGCTGCACGTTTCGAGCCGCATCGACCTGTGATAGCCCCCGGGCCCGAAACCAAGCGAGAACGACCTGCGACACTGCGACACTGCGACACTGCGCCCCCACGTCACGCGGGACGGCCCTACGAGGGGCGGGGCGGTGGCGCCTCGGCGCCGACAAGTCATGCAAAAAAACAACTCACAAACCGAGAACGACCGGTGCGACGAAATTGCAGCGCCCAGATCTGAAGGGGCGGCTCGCCTGGTGGTGGTGGTGTCGCCTCTCCTCCCTCCGATCTCGGTCGGTCCGCGCGGGATGGGCCCACGCAGTGCCGCGGGGGGACCTGCTTCTGCGAGGCGGCACAGGACGCCCCGAGGTGCTGTGCGAGCAGGCGCGAGCTGCCCAACTCGGCTCGAGACAAAGAACTGCGGAGGGGACGAGTCACGGTCGCGAGCTGTTGCCTAGCGTGTCGCGGCGGCGACCCCGGCGACGCGCTTGGAGCGGATAGCGGTGTCGCTCAACTCTGCAGCGCCGGAGGCCCAGAAAGGCTCGGGACGTTGACGCTCGGGGGCTGAGAAGTGGATAGCGTGTCGCGCCGAAGCGTGGTGAACCAGAAACGGCTTGGTGAACAAGCTAAGACAATGATTACTGACCGTATGTCCCATCTTCGGGGGATGTTGTATGTCCCTTCGCGCTGCTACCCGAATCGAACCCAAGAGATATGCGCCTCAAATCCGAGTCGAACCTGCGTCGCATCTCCGTCAAAACCGCGCCCGGCACAGGAAGAGGCGACAACTTGCAGGGCAGAAACATCCGAGCGCATTCCAAGAAGATGCAGCGTAAAACGGGGGAAGACACATCCGAGCACATCCAGAAGTAATGAAGCATCATGGTTAAGAATTGGGAGAAAAGTGCGCGCCATAATCACAGTCGGGCCTCGACTGCTGATGTGCCGCCTGTTTGGGCCCCCCATCCTTGTCCTCCAGGATATTTCGTCCGTGTCGCTGCACCAGACGTGTCGCAAGGGCGGGCCAGGAACTTCAGCTCAGACCTCTCCACCTTCATGAGACATCCGCAGGCGTCCAGAAACACAGGAGTCTGGAAGCACACATGTCTAGATTCACGTGTGGGACATCTGGACGCCACGGCGTCCTGGATACACAGGAAGAAAATCCGCCGACCCCTTTGGGTCACGGCGTGTGAGATGCTTCCCCCTCGCCAAACCCCTCCCCTGGGAGCCCGTTCCGGCCGGTTTGGATGGGGGGGGGAATGGAATGGAATGGCTAGTGGTCCCAAGGACGGTGAAACAAAGCAGACAGACTAGTCAGAGCAGTCCGAGGCTTCGTCTTCACACGAAGTCCACCCACTGTCGGAGCTGGCATTACGACGTGCAGCCCGGTTCCCTAACTCGATTACCCAGTCGAGGTCACAATCAAGCAAGCTATAGCATCTTAGCACAAGCTGCTTCTGCTGATCGGCCGTCTGCGGGGCCGCCGCAAGGGTGGCCACCTTTGGTTCCCTCCCTGCCTGCCCTCGGCCCTTAGGGACCGCCGGGGGCTGTTCCCACAACGGTCGTAAACGGAATGTTTCATCCCGCGGGATTTCCTCCGGGGCACACATGTAGCGTCGGCCGACCGGTGCGGCGACGCGGAAAGGCCCCAGCCCGGGAGACCCTACTGTTGCCACTCATCTTGGCGCTGGGCGCCCTGCTGGAGAAATACCCGCCACAGCGGAAACAAAGAAGAACATAATGATCAGGTGTCTCCCGGATCCGCGAGCGCAGCAAATAATGACCCCCTATCTTGCATGCTGCCCCGCAGTAGCGGCTCCACGAATGATCCCATGAGCTCACAAGCGCCCTCTGGATTCGTGTCCTGTGGCAGGCACTGGCCGAGAGCGAGGGCCTCCTCCACGCCTTCGTCCTCCTCCTGGGTCTCGGGCGGGGGCGCCTCTCCCGAGGCCGCTGCGCCAGCGCTACGAGCAGCATCAGGACCATGCAGAACGTCATCGTAGTCCCGGCACTGGCTCTCCCCGAGCACGCTCTGGAGCTCCCCGGACCACCGGGCGCTCTCGTGGACCAGCTCCTGGAACCCCCGCCAGAGAGCTTCATCAGCCACACCCGCACCACTGTGGAGACGAGCTCCATCTTTGGCAAACCTGCCCGCTGCGTGGTTTGCCGCCCGCCCCCAGTGGGTGGAGCGCCTGGCCTCCGCGTCGGCGGACGCGGCGTGCCCGAGCGTCTTGTGCACCTCCAGATCTGCGGCATCAAAGTGCCCCCAGACGCGCCCCCACAGGAGCGGCCTCGGATCATGGGCGCTGGCGCCGCCCCTGGGCCCCGCCTTGAGGGTCGAGACGGTGCCGGCGCAGTCGATGTACACGTCGAGCACGCCTGGTGCAGCAAGGTCACACAGCGCGAAGACTGCAAAATCTTCGCCGTCGCGGGAGGTCTGCCGCGGGCCCGCCCACAGGGCCCAGGAGGCGCCCAAGAGGCCCCCCAAGAGGCCCCACGAGGCCCCCAAGAAGCCCGAAAGAAGCCCCAAGTATCACTTGAGGCTTGCAACTTCTAGCCCGCAACCCAGGCACCAAGGATCTCAGGCCGGCAACCAGGGCACGGTGGCAGGATGGGCCGACGGCCACTATATGTGTATATATACATACACATATATATATATATATATGCAAAAGCAAATTCATTTACATATACATATGCACACATATACATACACATATACATACATACATACATACATACATACATACATACATACATGCATGCATGCATGCATACATACATACATGCATGCATACATACATACATACATACACACACATACATACACACATACATACATACATACATACATACACACATACATACATACACACATACATACATACATACATACATACATACATACATACATGCATACATACATACATACATACTCATATTCATACAGGCGTGTATACATACATGCATACATACATACATACATACCGACATACAGCCATACATACGTACATACATATATACATACATACATACATACATACATACATACATACAAACATACATATATGCATGCATGCATGCATGTATGCATGCATGCATGCATACATACACGCACGCATACATTCATACATACATGCATACATACAGACATACATACATACATACTAACATACATACATACATACATACACACATACATACAAACATATATACATACATACATGCATACACACATACATACAAACATACATACATACATGCATACATCCATACATACATACATACATTCATACATCCATACATACATACATACATACATACGTACGTGTATATATGTGTAACACTCGGCACTGCCGGGGCTACCAAGAGCATTCCCAAGAGGGGCCCAAGAGGCCACTATCGTCCAATGCCTATGTTTCATAAATTTTCGTGGTCTTTCGACCACCCGAGGCATCTCCTCGAATTCAGCCTCCAGGAGCCGTGTTCGGTGCCCGGGGCCACCACCAAGGGTCCAGGGTAAGGATCGATATCCCTGGCCGGTGCCTCCCCTTCGCAGAGGAAGGAACACGGGGTGGATCGAGGCTCGAGACATGAGACTCCTAGTTCTTGGGCGCTCTCCGCCCCCTTCTGGGCCTCCAGGAAGCTCCTCGTTGACACAGCTGGGTCCACTCTCGAACTTCTGACCAGACGCACCCCCAGCTGAGTCTCAACGATCCCCGAGCCTATCCAGGGGATGGGAAAGGAGGCCTGGGACAGGCCCTGTGAAGGCCCCAAGCAACTCACATGATCACGACAAACTTCAAAACAATACCCTATAAGGCCCCCCCTTGAACCCCACACGCTACGTAAGACAGGCCGAAGCCCGAAGATTGCCCAGCGATCACGCGCGTTCCGCGAACTCCGTCTTTCACTCTTGCTACCGCCCCAAGGGGTCAGCGGTGAGGCGTAAGCCAATGAATCCACGGCCGGAGGTGACGTGCTGAGAGGCAGCGTTTTTCGGCGAACGCCTCAATGCAACGTATCCAAGGTATCCAATGATTGCATACTTGCCACATGTTGCATTGTGTTACATTATTATGTCTCCCCCCTAACCCCCTTGGGAGCCGCGCCACAGGAACGGACCAAAATGATCGGCCCTCCTTCTGGGGCCCCAAACCTACAAAAGCCGATGAAAAATCAACAAATTCGGCCTCTCGGGCCTCTGGGGACTCCGAGAGGGCCTCAAGATGGCCCAAGATGGCCCCAAGACGGCCCAAGACGGCCCCAAAACGGCCCAAGATATTCCCAACGGGGGCCCATGGGGCCCCCAAGACGGCCCCAAGAGGGGCCCAAAAGCTCCAAGGACGGCCCAAGAGGGCCCCAAGAGCGCCCACAACTGCGCCTCCAGAGGCCGAAATCATTGATTGCCCGATGGTGTTTGCAATAGTTTAGCGTTCTCGCCTTGTTCGGCTCTCAAAAATCCATGACGGCCCAAGCAGCTTCCAGAATCCCCCCAAAACAACCCAAAAAGCCTCCAAGAGGGCCCCAAGACGGCCCAAGAGGGCCCCAGAACGGCCCAAAGAGGCCCCCAAGACGGTCCAAGAGGCCGCGAAGACGGCCCAAAAGGACCCCAGGAGGGCTCCAATGCGGCCGCGAGAGGCCCCCAAGACAGCCGCCGAGGGGGCGAAACGGTGCAAAAGCGCCCCAAGACGGCCCAAGACGCCCCCAAGAGGCCCCAAGAGGCCCCCAAGAAGCCTCTAAGAAGTCCCCCAGAAGCCTCCAAAAGGCCCCCAAAAAGCCCCCCACAAAGCCAAAATCCTCCTGCTCCTCATCCTCATGTTCTTCTTCCTTCTCATTCGTTTCCCTTCCTCCTCCTCCTCCTCCTCCTCCTCCTCCTCCTCCTCCTCCAACTCCTCCTCCTCCTCCTCCTCCTCACTCATCCCTCAATCCCGCTGCTCTTCTCCCATCCTGCCCTTCATCACCCTCCCGCCCCCTCATCCACCCCTCTTCCTTCCAGGCTGGAAATTTCCTGAAGCTTAAAAGTTCTCACCAGCTGCAACGATCGGGCCAGTGAAATTCTCAAATTCGGCGATCGCCTGAGCGCAGCGCACACTCATCTTAACTAAATCGAGCAACTACACGGAACTGCGGCCATCTTCTGAGCGCCACGTACACTCGGACTCTGAAGTTTCCAAGGATGCAAAATGGAGGCCGGCTCGTTTTTTCAAAATGCGGCTCTCTCGTGAGACTGCCTCGAACTTGATTGCCCTAACTTTGAAGGTGTACAGCTCTTCCACGGATGGATGGCAAGTCCTTGTTTCCAGCACGGGGCCATACACTTGCTCCAGCTCCCTCCACGCTTCTGTGTGCTGCTTCCCCGCCCGGATGGCTGGGGTTCTTGCTGTTGCGGGAACACGTTCCCGACCAGCTTCGCCCGCCCTGCACCCCGCGGGCGGCCACCGGGGCCAAAGACTCTGGGGCGTTCCTGGGTGTGCCGCGGCGCCCGCCCTGCAAACCCCGCGGCCGCCAGGCCCCAGAGAGCCCCGAGAGGCCAATGACGCCCTACGGAGCAGGCACATAGAACATGCGTGGCTAACAGGCAGCCCCACCACCCCATGGTGGCGTCACGACGTCAAGGCGTTCAGGCGTGACGAGGTCACGCCACCCACAGGCGCACACACACACACACACACAGCTAACAGCTAAAACACATCCCAGTCGCACGCACTATTCACGCGCATCCAGCAAACACATTGGAGATCGTCGGTTATGAGCCTACGTTGAATATCCGCCGGCCCCCTTGTGGGGCCACCAGGCTGTAGGCCTAAGGTTCGCAGTTTCCTGTACCAGTTGCAGCTTCCAGTTTCCACTGTTACAGTTCTGCTTCGTGCTGATTGCTGTTCCTTGTTGACTTCTTGCTTACTGTTCCTTGTTGATGGACCGCGCGAGGGGGGGAGGCCCAAAACGGACATTTTTACCAAGCCCTGAGCGTATGCTCTGAATTGCTGGGGTGGATAAAAATTGACAACCCTCATGCAGATCGGCGGGGTCAGGGTCCCAAAACACCGGGGATTTGCCACATTTCTGAAATTCGGTGGCACCCCTCACGCAGATCGGCGGGGTCAGGGTCCAAAAACACATGGGGACTTGTATGTTTTCTAAAATTTGATGGCGCCCCTCACGCAGATCGGCGGGGTCAGGGTCAAAAAATAAATAAATGATTTGTCACATTAGTCGCATTCCGTGGCACCCCTCACGCAGATCGGCGAGGTCAGGGTGCGAAAACATATGGGATTTGTTACATTCCTGAAATTCGCTGGCGCCCCTCACGCAGATCGGCGGGGTCAGGGTCCCCCCCCCAAAAAAATGATTTGTCACATTAGTCGCATTCCGTGGCACCCCTCACGCAGATCGGCGAGGTCAGGGTGCGAAAACATATGGGATTTGTTACATTCCTGAAATTCGCTGGCACCCCTCACGCAGATCGGCGGGGTCAGGGTCCAAAAATATGTGGGATTTGCATTTGCTACATTTTTGACATTCCATGGAATCACGCAGATCGGCGGGGTCAGGGTCCAAAAACATTTGGGATTTGCCACATTTCTGAAATTCGGTGGCACCCCTCACGCGGATCGACAGGGTCAGGGTGTGAAAACACTGGGGATTTGCTACATTTCTGAGATTCGGTGGCACCGCTCAAGCAGATCCGTAGGGTCTGGGTTCAAAAACACATGGGATTTGCTACATTTCTGAAATTCGGTGACACCCCTCACGCAGATCCGTAGGGTCAGGGTCGAAAAACAAACAGGTCCCGACACTGCTTCACGGCGGCGCCCAGACCTTATGATTTAGCTTTTGCATCTCCCATTATCCGAAACAGGGGGCCGGCGGCATGGGGCGAAGCCCGTACGGATGAATATTCAACTTGAACTTGCATGAAAAACTGACACCACAAACATGCAACACACAACTGTTATGAATGACAAGCATCAAGAATATAAATCACAGGCAAACATCAACAGCACGCCAGCCACATGTTCCAATAACAAGAGCAAATAACACATAACAAAGTCCACCGTAACGATTACACACCAACAACATACAACAACATAGACAAGTAACCGTCACTGATGACACGATTCAACACCAGACTTCAACAACACACGCCCATAATAGACATCACTAGTAAACACAAAAAGTGTAAGTCAAGGCCAAACATGAATAACCACGATATACATATGTTTATATATACACTATAAACACTCCAAACCGACACCAAGAACAGGCAACCATGGTATAGTTTACGGCCAAGCATCCACCCACTCTTCCTCCACTACACTCCAAAGACGATGCCGGCGACGGCGGGGGTGGTTACAAGGGCGACGAGGATGACGAAAGAGGGGGCGGCGACGATCGCTTGACAGGTTCGCTGCGCCAGCGGCAGGTCGCAGCGGACGGCGGCAGCGAGGGAGTGGACCTGCAGCTGGCACCACAGCACGTCCCAGGCCTCGAAGTGTTTCTCCCAGCTCTCCTCCCGCGCTGCGGGATGAGAAAGACACGCCCTGGAAAAGCGGGCCTGCTGCCGCCACACGACGATGGTCAGAACACCGGTTCGATAAGCACCAAGCGCACACGCTGCACATGAACATCGGCGATGCGACGCGACCCGGCGACCCCCTGCTCTTCCTCCTCCTCCTCCTCCTCCTCCTCCTCCTCCTGCTCGTCGTCCTCCTCCTCCTGCTCCTGCTCCCCTTTTCCCTTCCTCCCTCCAGCATCCGTCCTCATCCCTCCCTCCTCCTCCTCCTCCCCATTCCTCCTCCTCCTCCTCCTCCTTCTCCTCCTCCTCCTTCTCCTCCTCCTGCACCTCCACCGAACTGCCATGCTCGCGCTTCCGAATGCTGCACTGCTCCTGCCACGGCAACTGCGCCTCCCCCCCTAGCCATTTTCCCGAGCTGGCCCCGAAGGCGGACTCGGGCATCGGGCAACCGCCAGAAGGGAAGCCGCCGCCGCCGCCGCCAGCGACGACGTCTTCTGACGTGGGAACAATTCGGGTCAGTCATCCTCTGATATGTCATTCTCTCTTATACCATGCTGCGTTTGGTCAAGTCCTGTCATGCTATGTTCTGTTCTTCACTCTTCTGTTCAGTTCTGACATGCTCGTTGAAGGTGCGGGTGGCTGGATCCTCGGGGCACACTCGGTGGACCTTGGGATCTGGCGGCCGCGGTATGCAGGATGCGCTGGTCGGGAGGTCTTGTTTTTGTCTTTAATAGCCTGGCGAAGGACCCAACCATATGCAATTGTGAGCACCGTCGTTGTATGCACCGCATTCGGAGGAACTCCCTATAGGGCCACGAAACGTGTGAGGGGTGTGCCGAAATTTGTCCAGTGGGCGCATGCGGGGCCACGAAGCGTCTGAGTGGTGTGCCGAAATGGGTGTGCGTGACGCATGCGGGCTGCGCCTCTGGGACCGTCGGCGGAGCTCCCTATGGGGCCAGAAAGCGTGTGAGGGGTGTGCCAAAATTGGCGTGACGACTACGATGAGGGTGATGATGACGATGATGATGATGATGATGACGATATAGATGATGATGATGATGATGATGATGATGATGATGATGATGATGATGATGATGATGATGATGATGATGATGATGATGATGATGGTGGTGGTGGTGGTGGTGATGATGAAGATGATGATGATTATGATGATGATGATGATAAGAAGAAGAGGAAGGGGGCAGCGGGAGGAGTGAGACGCGGGGCGATGTCTATTCAAAACGAGGACCCAACACCACACGACGGTTGGGAACCAAACGACCCCAGTGCCGGATGGGGAACAAGTCTGATGTGTCATGTCATGCTCTGCTCTGCTATGGCACGCGTTGCTATGTCATGTTATGTTATGCCATGCTCTGTGATGCCATGCAGGTTCGGCCATGTTATGTCATGCTATGTTATGCTTTGCGCTGCTCTTTTCAGTGTTGTCATGCTCGTCGAAGGCGCGGGTGGCGGGATGTTCGGGGGCCACTCGGGGGACCTGGGGATCTGGCGGCCGCGGTATGCAGGGTGGGCCAGTGGCGATGTCTGTTCTCAACGTCTAACGACCCCAACGTGTCGGGTAGGGAACAGCAACTGCACTTCTAAAGCCGTGCCTTCCACCATTCGTTTTCCGAGATGCGAGACCCTCTTGCAAAGTTATGCCTCCAGCCCCCCACACACACACAGACACACACACACAACAATCCGAAGCGCATCGGCGGAACACAAGCGCGGGGCACCGCGTGCTGCTACCTGAGGAGGGATGGAAGGAGGATAATGAGAGGAAGGATGATGAAGAGGAATGGCGAACGAAGGGAGAGAGAGAGAGAGAGAAAGAGAAAGAGAGAGAGAGAGAGAGAAAGAAAGAAGGAAAGAAAGACATACAGAAATTGACCGAGAGAGAGAGAGAGAGGCCAGAAGTTTGAAGGTTGCATAAGTGGATGAAGCGTCTAAGTGGGTCTAGGGGGGCTTACAAGATATTCCGCAAACCCTCCGCGATGGCTAGGAAAGAGATGTGTGTCAATTCTTCTGGTGCAAGGCGGCAACGCAAAGCAAGTGCTTACACGTTCCGAAGCATGCGTAGTGCAGATCTCATCGAACAAACACAGCTATTCGGGGATATATCCTCACCATTACTCCTCCGTCTCCTCCTCCTCCCGCTCCTCCTCCCAACACTCAGGCAATCTTCAATGCTAGATCCCAAATGAATGCAGCGTGCGCGAACACAGAAAGACGCGGGTAGATACTCTAAAGTGCACGCTTAATTGTAAACCCACCGCTACAATGCCGACTTGCTGGACGTCGCTTCTACTGCCCAGGGTCTCGGTCCCCTGAAGTTTCTGGGTCTGAACTCCGCACCCCGAGGACCCATGCGAGCATCGCTATCCCAGCTCGGCACAAGGATGAAAACCAGTCGATCGACGCCGATTCATGACGTCTCGATGTGCGTCAGAATTGCTTCCCAGAGCCTCGGTCCGCTGAGACGTTGCAGGGAGTCCAGTTCAAAAAGCTCCTGGCAGCCAGGCAGCGCTGTATTACTCTAAATTACACGCGCGCACGCAAAGAACGGCAACCCGTCAAGCAGACAGCCGTAGTCATCATTGACTGCAAGGCGGCGGCTGGGCATCCTGTCGCAGCCTCAGCATGCCGCAGCTCGGCAGAGGCCACGAGGCCCCTGGCGCCGGCCGCGGAGGCATTGCGGGGGAAGACTGGCGGCAACGGACTCTGCCAAGTCCGTGGGCCCGCGGCATCACGGACCTGCTCTCCTCCTGCGATTGGAGGCTGGAGGCTCCCAACGGGGTGGAAGTTAGCATTGCCCCGCCCCCCGCCTCCTTGTGTTGTGCCACAAAGACACGTCGGGCGGTTTTCGGGAACTTTCAGCCTCTTTGATGCCTGCCGCGAGGCAGCGTGCCTGCTGGGCAGTAAGCCTGGGGGGAGCGGTCTGCCGGCGTCCCCGCTCACCGTCGCCATCGTACCACCAGCTGCAGACGTGTGATGCAACCATCACGGAGGATGAGAAGAAAGAGCATTCGTTCTGCGAGCACATGGCTGGCCAAAGGGAACCTGACTTGGGGCCCACTTTTGCTTCTGACTGGCGCAGCCACCCTCGTGTCACCTCCGCCAGTCTTCTGCCAGCCCCCAACGAGGGGCAGAGATCCGCCTCACGATCTGTCGGGACGAAGCCCCGCTTGGAACGACCCAGCCAGACAGGGGATGGATAACAAGGAGGTATGTCGACCCCTGTCCCGGGCTTTGTGGCGTTTTCGAAAGGACCAAAAAAGGGACCAACCTTGGGATATACGACGGGGGGCGTCCATCCTCGATAGGGGTGCGTCCGAACACCCCCCCAGGGGTGTATCCCAGGGTTTCCCTCCTTTTCTGCGCGGCTTCCCATTTCGTCGAAAACTCGGGGGCAAGGTGAGAAATAATTGCCTGCGAGTGAACGGCGGCGGCAGAGCTCAGCTTCTCGGAACGTCGGCCACGAGGCCCTGTGTGGAACGACCCAGGTGTCGCTGGTTCGCTATTCCACCACCTAAGACGAAGCCAGGACGAGGACATAATCTCTGAGATCTGGCGGCTCTGGCGGAATCCTCGGGCGCCGCGGCCTTCTCAGAGCGTCCCGGAAAGCTCTGAGAGCGTTCCGGATCGCTCTGGAACGGATTGATCCTTGTCCCAGCCCCGCCTGGACGAGGACCTGTTTGGAACGACCCAGGTGTCGCTGTTTCGCTGCTCGACAACCCCCGACGTCCGACGTCGTGAGAGATCACGACCAGAGCGGCGTCCACAACACAAACTCTCTGCGGCAGGATCGGCGGCAAAGGCTGCAACCACGTGAAGACTTTTCCAAACTGGGTGCCGTCTCGCAGGGGTCGCTTGCGTCAACCATCGACGCCACGGGTGATCGCCCGTACGGACGAGACAGAAAGCATCGATACATCCAACGGGCGAAGCGACAAAGCAGCCGCTTGTACCTGGCTGCTGCGGCGGTGTCGGCGGGCTGCAGGGAGGAGTGGATGCAGAGCGAATGGAGCACGACAGGGTTGAAGGAAAGCAGGGAGACAACGGAGAGGGGTTGATACGGAGACAGGAGAAGGGGGTGGGTAAAGAGACTGCGCTAAGGGAGTGGGATAAGGAGGGGGCGGGGAGAGAAGGGGGGAGGGGGGAGCGCGGGCGGAGAAGGGGGGAGGCAGGGAGAAGGGCAGCACAGCGAGGGGGAGGACGAAGGGGCTGCGGGGGGAGGGAGGAAAGAGTAGGGTCCAGGGGGAGGCGGCGATGAAGGACGGGAGGAGGCTTACGCACAGAAGGCAGCACGAGGAATCCAAAGAGGCAGAATGTACTATTCCTTTTGTCCCTCCGTTCTCCCCGCGAAGGACCAGTGCATCTGACTGTGACTGTCTGTCGATGGTCAACTATTTGCTGCTGTTGCTGCTGCTTGAAATCCTACTCGAAACTCGCGTTTCTCGAGTCAGCATATCGAGAGTGATGGGTGCAGCGAAGACCACGGGGCCGCGCATTTCTTGTTTGGGACGGCGTCTGGATCTAAAGCAGTTTGACGTGCCGATGTTGTTGCTGCTGGCGGAGCGATTCTCACATGGCTTCCTGAAGCCCCGTGGCACGCATTCGGAATAAACCCCGCACTGCCAACAAGCCATGACGCAGCTCTCTCTATTGAGCCGATCAAGAAAACGTAGATGTCACGGCCGTTTCGATTCCCTGATACGTGGGAGAGGGTCAGGTCCGACTCTGGTTCCCTCGGTGATGGCTCTGGCGCGGTATAGTTCGCACATCCACCTTCCCTGACACCAGACCCACCTGTGAGGCTGCCCTACCTGTTGGTCTCCTTGGGAAGGAGCACCCACCTCGGCCACGGGACCTTCAGGGTGGGAAGGAGGCGCGGGCGAGGAGGAGACGATTCACAGGCGGCTTGTTCAGGGGCATAAAGACTGGGTTGCCACACGCTTTGCCTCCAGGCTTGAGGGCTATAGACGGCCATGTGGATATACCCTGGGCAGCGAGTTAATAAAACTCTAGGGGGAAGTCCCTGTCGGCCTGATTGGCGTTCACGTCGGCCTGCGAAGGACCTCCGTTCTTCTGCGCAGCCGCTTTGGTCACCCGGTCCGCAGCATCGCTCCCCAGGGCCAATAAACTACTCACGCGAGCCTTCTGGCTGGCTGCTTCGATCCTGGTGCGCTCCTACGTTACAAATCGTGGGGAGGGTACCTCCAACAACTTTACCTTTGGCAAATAGCTCCAGCCCTGAATACGGATTATCCGTGTCAAAGCCTACCTGACTATACCTACGAATGGCTCCAGCATGGTCAGAGTGGAGGTGGGTGAGGCGGGGGGCACATGTGACCAACAGCCAGCGCCACGTGCTCCGCGGCGCCCGAGGTGCGCGGGAGCAGACCTCCAGTCTGGCCTGAAAGATGGGCTGTGCACCCGCCTCGGTCGTTGATCACAGCCACCGCCCAGCCTGTCTGATTCCACCGCAGAGGACCGCGCTTGAAACAAGAACCTGCTACAAAACCATCGCCGTGCATGGCCACTTCGGGGGGGTCTCAGGAAAGGCCAGCCCCTGCGGGCCTACGAATAACTTCCGCGGGTTGGGTTTGAGAACCACGGGGGAGGAATCAGGAGGAGCATGAGGTAGGAGGAGGGGGGGCGGGCGGAAGCAGGAGGGCTGCGGAGGGGGGAACAACAAGACACCGATACCGCTGGTCGTCGGACCTCCCTCGGGGCGCATTCTGACCAGGATTCCAGGGCGAATCCAGCGGAGGTGGCGACCGCTCCCCAGGGGGCCGAAAGATACGAAAACGGGCCACGGGCATACGTATGGGTAGGTTTGCTCCTCCACTGAAGGAGGACTGAAAGAAGGAACGTGATGGTGGCGGCCCAGGGGGCAATATCCCTACCTGTACTTGGAAAACTGCCGTGCGAGAGACGCCGCCTCCCCGCATTCAAATAGTCTGCCCCTGCCTCCCGTAGCACGAAGCCAGGACCAAGACCAAATAGCATCCAGACAACTCGGAGAAGAGGAAGGGAACGGGGAAGATTCAGATAAATGGCGATCTAGAGGATTCAACCAAAACGTGTCAGGACAAGGGATGACGAGGCAATGGTGAGGACGATGATGCAAAAAAAATTAAAAATAGTAGGTTACATATAAGCCGGGAAGAAGGGGAGAGTCAGAGATGAGGTGGAGGGGGGCACGAACGGATAGATGGGGCGAAGGGCAGGCAGAGGTCAACGCATTCCCGGACACTCGAAATTGAGGAAACAACCTCAAGAACGGAAGAACGACAACCAGAAGAACGAAACAGAACTCAAACGCCTGAGCAAGAGAGGGGGCGAGAAAAGAACGCAAGAGCAAAGGGAAATACGGAACGGGAAAGCAAAGGCAATGTTGGGGTAACACGCGTACTACACTTCGATACCGCTACTCCCAAGACCTCTCCAGGGAGGATTCTGACAATCGACACGAATCCAGCCGTGGCGACGAGAGACGGGCAGCAGTATCGGTATGTTGTTCCCTCGTCCCAGGAGAAGGCAGAGGTAGAGGGAAGGAAACGCCACAGGCAAAAAGGAATGGAAAGCAATGGCAAGAACGGAGGGAAGGCAGAGCCTCCAAGGTAGGAGAGAGCGTGTGGCGCAACGTGCCGCCCAAAGGTTCGATGTAAAACCGAAGGGAAGCCTCGACTGCCCCGTCGCGCTGCTATCCGCCCCGAGTACGCGCCGCACAAGCGTCGAACGCCCCCTGGACAACATTCCTCCGACCCGTCCGCTGACCGCCTCACAGACCCTGTCTGGGCCGGCCGATCCTGGGCCCAGTGATCGGTCGGTGTCTACGCCTCCCCAGCAAAGCCAGGAGGGAGTATACACACCGATCATGGGTCCAGGATGGGCCTGGCCAGGACGGGCCTGGCCAGGCTGCCGTGCTTTGATACGGGTCTCGCTCACATCGGGTTGGCGTGAGCAAAACTCCCGCGACGAGCGCGAAAAGGCACCGCCGCTGGCAGGATTGGCGCCCGGGTCTGAAAGCACGCATGGCCGACATTTGTCGTTCAGGGCCGAGCGACTTGCCCCTGTCCCTCGACTCGCGCTTGAGCTTCCACGAGTCCTCCAAATTTGTGAGGATATCGGACATCTCGGGATATACCTCGACCCCTCCACAATTGCACCAGTTCGCGTCGATTCGCCTTGATTTGTCCAGACCAATCCCCGCAAGCCGATTGAAGAGGAATCGCCAAAGCATCAGGAAACTTGCAAGACAGAACAGCCCCCCCCCCAAAAAAGATCCAACGGAATATGGCGGCCTCACAGAAGGCCTCCACAGGAAGACGCTTTCCCTTCCCCATCCTTCCCCTGGCTCCCCCTCCTCCGCTGGCTTCCCGCTCCTCCCCCCTTTCACCATCCTCCTCTGGACCGCCTTGTCCTCCTCCGCATCCATCCTCCCCCTTGTTTCCCAACCATCCTGTGGTATTGGGTCCTCATTTTGAAGAGACAACGCTCCGTGCCACCTCACCTCTCGCCCTCCTCCTCCTCCTCCCTCCTCCCTCCTCCCCTCCTTGCCTCTGCCCTCATCAGTGTGCATCTCCCCCGCCCTGTACAGCGCTTCGTGGCTCCATAGGGAGCAGCTCCACCGAAGGCCGTAATGGCTGCACTCGCACGGGTCTCCCCCGCCCAATACAACGTTCCGTGGCGCCATCTGGGGGCTCCACAAAAAGCCCCATTGGCTGCACTTGCATGCGTCCCCCCCCACCCAATGCAACGTTTCGTGCCCCGATAGGGAGCTCCACCAAAGGAGCCACTGGCTGCACTCGCACGCGCCTCCCCCGCCCAGTAACAGCGTCTAGGTCTAGTGGCCCCGCAGGGAACTCCACCGAAGGCCCCAGAAGTTGCACTCGCATGCGCCTCCCCCGCCCATTATAACGCTTCGTGGCCCCATAGGGGGCTTCACAGAAGGCCCCAGGGCCTGCGCTTGCATGCCTCTCCCCCGCCCAGTACAACGCTTCGTGGCCCCATGGGGAGCTTCACCGAAGGCCCCAGTGGCTGCCCTCGGATGCGTCTCCCCCATCAAGTACAGCGCCCAAGTCGCTGCACTCGCATGCGTCTCTCCCGCCCAGTACAGCGCTTCATGGCCCCATGTGGGGCTCCGCCGAAGGCCCCAGAAGCTGCACTCGCATGCGCCCCCCCCCAAATACAGCGTTGCGTGGCCTCAGACGGGGAAATTGGTAACACTAAGGGCCGGAAGCGCTGCGGACAGAGAGGTTAGAGTACGGAAAATCGCGCTCGCACGGGCCTTCCAAAAAAAGGAGGAACACGTGCCCCGACCACCAAAAAACAGAGACGTCGTGGTAGCCCCAAAGAGCCCCCAGTGGGCCCTAAGAAAATCTCCGCGCAGGAAGAAGCGAAAACCACCGACGGCGGAGGGGCTGGCCCGATACATGCAACAAAAACATGCGCGTCGGACCACCCCTGGGGGGGCCCGCTCGGGCCGTTAAGCAAAACAGAAAGGGATGCCCGAAAGCCAATAGAAACCAAATAAAACGCAAGCGTCGGCATGGCCAACAGGGGGCGGCACTCGCCAAAAAACACAAACACAATCGGGCGCCCCGAACGAAATAAAACGCATATTGGGTCGTGGCCGCGGCCACCCCGCCCGACCCGTGGACCAGAAAACACAGAAGGCTGGCGCGCAAACAAAAAACAACGCGCCAGTGGAGGCACTGGGAGTGGCTGGCCCAGGCCGAAATTGGAAAGACAAAGGCATCGCCCGAAACCAAAAAGAAAACCTGGCGTGGCGTCGAGAGCGCCCCGCACGAGCCAAAACAAAAAACATACGGAGCTGGATAGAGACAAGGACCTCTTGGAGAAGGAGGAGGAGGAGGAGGAAATCCATAAGATTCGTTAGGACGTCCACCAAATGCTTTGGGAAACCCATCGGGTCCCTTAGACAACCCATCTGATGCCTTAAGACATTTAAACTTGGGGAATCCATAGGATTCAGGACATGCATCGGGTTCATTCGGAAACCAGTCGTATGTCCAACGACATCTATAGGAATCCTCAAGCAATCCACGGATTCCTTAGGAAACCCACCGGATTCAGTAGGAAATCCATCAGATTCCTTAGGAATACGCCGCCCAGCGACACTACGCAGCCCGGGCGACACGGTTGAGCTCCACAAGGTTCCTTAGGAATATATGGCATCCCTTCGGAAATCCATCGGCTTCCATCGGACATCCATGGGATTCCTTCGGGAACCCATCGGATCCCTGAAGACATGCACGGGATTTCTTAGGAAATCTCTTAAATTCATTTGGCAATCCCGCGGATGCCATAGGCAATCCCTAGGATTCCTTCGGACATCTAGTGGAATCCTTGGGACATACATCGGTTTCCTAAGGAAATCCATTCGGCTCCTTTGGACATCTATAGGTATTCTTAGGACATCCACAAGACCCCATCGGACATTCATTGGATTCCTTCGGGAACCAATCGGATTCGTTAGGGAATCCCCCGGATCCCTCAGGACATCCATGGGATTCCTTCGGAAATCCATCGGATCCTGAGGAAATCCATAAGATTCCTTACGGCATCCATTGGGATCCCTTAGGAAATCCAAGAGAAACAATAAAACATCCATCGGAGTCATTGGGAAATCCCTAGGATTCCTAAAGAAATCAATCGGATCCATTCGGAAAAGCACGGATTCCGTAGGAAATGAATCGGGCCCCTCAGGACATTCATAGGATGCGAGAATCTGCTGGAAATGCATACGTCTCCCAAAAAGAACCCCATCAGATCCCGGAGAAGGTCCGCAGGAATCCACAGGAAGTCAATCAGATTCCGTCGGACATGTTTTATTATCCTTGGGAGATCCCTAGGAATCCTTCGGACATCCATCGAAGTCCTCCAAAAATCCATACGATTCCCACACGAAATCCGTATGCTGTCTAAGGAGAGCCACAGGAATCTTTGATAACCCCATCGAGTTCCGCAGAATAAACCATGGGACTACTAAGCGGATGCATAAGATAATTCGCCAGGAATCCGGTGGCTTCCTATTGAAAACATAGAAAAGCGCAAGCTCACTTCAAAATCCAATCGATCACCGTTAAGGGTTTGCTTTCGTTTCCAGACTAACGTGGCGACTTTTACACTGTGGACAACACATTCGCCACGCGCGCGTCCGCGCGCACGTGCGCGCGATCGGGTGACCCACGCGCGGGCGGGTCACCCGAGATCGCGCTGGTCACCGTTAAGGGTTCACTCCCGCTTCAAGACAGCATGACATGTTTTCCATTGTGGACAATACAAACCTCGCCACGCGCGCGCGCGCGCGATCGGGTGACCCACGCGCGGGAGGTTACCCTAGATCCCGTTGGTCATCGTTAAGAGTTCACTTTAATCTCCAGACCAACATAAAGGGTTCCCTTGCGTCCGTGCAGCGTTTCGTGGCCCATTGGGAGCTCCACCAAAGACGATACCCACAACTGCGGTAGTCACAACTGCACATGGTCGGGTCCTTCGCCAGGCCAATTTCCTCCTCCTCGTCCGCCCTTGCCTCCCCCTCCTCATATTGCTCCACCTCCTCCTCCTCCTCCTCGTCCTCCTCCTCCTCCTCTTCCTTTTGTTACGCTAGACCAACCCAAGGTTTCCGTGTGGTTTCTTTCCTTCTCCTCCTCCTCCCCCTCCCCCCTCCTCCTCCTCCTCCTCCTCCTCCTCCTCCTCCGCCTCCTCCTCCTCCTCCTCCTCCTCCTCCTCGCCCTCCTCTTTCTACCCCCCACCCACCCACCTTCCCCCACCCTCCCGACGCAGCGGGGCACTCGAACGCGTTGGCGCAGCATGTCGCCTGCTCGCGCTGGAACGTTTCCCTCGCAGCCTGCGGCCGCTGGGCGTCCCCCCTGCCAAACCACACACATGATGACTGTGCACTATCCGCGCGGGATAAATCCTCGACGCTAGCGTTGTTCGTGGAGGCGAGAGAGGGGAACCCGATGGCTTGGGGCCCTTCCCGGGAACCCGAAGTCGGGCCGAGATCGACCCGGGCCCCCCCCCTTCCCCGAAGCTCGGGTCGGACAAAAGGGGGAGTGAGTAAGAGCCTGCAATTGTTTATCATCACGGATAGCGGCCGTCATCGGCCCCGCCAGTCCCCCTCAGATGACGTCACGTTCTACGCCGGCGGCGTCTGGGAATGCCTAAGGATAACCGGGGCCAAGTAGGAGCAGCATGTAGGTCGCGATCTGCACCACAACGCCAGTGTACACCACAATGCTCGCATGTACCACAGCGCGCGTACACACCACAACACCTGTGTACACCGCGACACCCGTGTGCAACGCAGCGCCTGTGTACACCGTAGTGGTTGCGTCACAGCGAATGTACACACCGCAACAACCATGTGCAACACAGCGCCTCTGTACACCACAGTGATTGCGTGCACCGCAGCGCCTGTTTTTTGGGGGGGGGCAAAGCCCCAGAAGTCACCAGCACAGCAGGAAGTCACCCTGCTCACCCGAGCAGGGTGACTTCCTGATGTGCTGTGTCCAGCGCGTGCAATATGCAAAACTGCATCTTGTCGGCTTAGCGAAGAGCTGCCCAGCCAGACAACCAGGGCTTGTCATGGACAAGACCGGCAAGGAGCGGCGGAGCCGTTTCGAGCGTGGCCTCCACCTCAGAACTGGGAGAAGGAGGTCGTCCTTGAGAGCCTCTCTCAAGGATCTTGGTTTCCTCACTCACGCGAGTGAGAGCAGTGCGCAGTGCACCTCTGCAGCTGGCACGTTCGGCGTCCACAGGGGGAGCACAAAAATGCTCCTCCTCCTCCTTTTCCTCTTCTTCCTCCTCCCTCACCCTTCCCCCCGTCGTGCGGGTCGGCGCTGCAGCGCACGCGTAATGGTTTGTCCAATCAGTCCGCTTGGTTCTCGGACGGCCAATTCTGCGGGAGCCGTCTGGACGCGAATAGGAGGAGTTATGCTGATGCTGGAGGACTCGGGAGGGCTCGTAGATTCCAACGGCGCTTCTTTTTTCACAAGGATTCCTTCTCCAAATCCCATATGAAACAATTCATGTTTGTGGAATCCACAGGTGCACAATTTTGTCACAAGGATTCTTCTAACATTCGATCTGCAAGAATGGATCTGTGTTGCACACGGTTGCTGTGGCGCATACAAGCGCCGTGGTGTTCACAAGCGCTGTGGTGCATGCAGGCACGGTGGTGCATAGTGGCGCTGTGTTGCACGCGGCTGCTGTGGTGTACACAGGCGGCGTGGTGTACGCAGGCGCTGTGGTGCACACAGGCCTTGTGTTGAACACCGGCGTTGTGGTGCAGATCGCCACCTAAATGCTGCTGCTACCCGTCTTCGGTCGTTTCTAAGCATTCCTAAACGCCGCCGGCGCGAAACGTGACGTCATCGGCCCTATCCCCCCCCCTAGGTGACGGCCGTTATCGGCCCGGAGTAAAAAACAGGCTGTAATAGCTGATGTTCTCGGCTCCTCCCGGCGCCAGAGGCACAAATGTATCCAGGAACAGGGCCCCCGCGGCAAGGCCGAAAACAGCTGCACGCTGCAGATGTCGTAGCCACCTCTTTCCTGGTTCCACCCTTCGTCCGACTCGAGAAACGCCGACTGCCGCATTTGAATTTAATTTGTGTGATGCATGCGGTCAGGACCTTTTGCTTAGCGCGTCTCTGCGGCGGCCCCTGCGACACGCTATGCCTTTCAAGAAGCGGGAGATCGAAAAAAACTCGGGACGTTGACGCCTGGGGACTAGGAAATGGATAGCGTATTGCCGAAGAGTGGTGGGCCAGAAGCGGCGGCGCGACACTATTCAAAAGTTCCCGATCGTATATACCAGCCTGCGCGCATAAAAAACATTTGGCCTGCTCGGGAGGGGCGGGCCTGTTGCGCGACCTGGGTGCCCGCCTGCTGGACGGCGCTGTTGATCGCCTGCCCATTTCTCCATCCCAGGGGCAGAAGGAGCATGCGCGAGAGGGGGAAAGATCCGGAGGGGAACAAGGGTCCTCGTCCTCGTCCTCGTCCTCATCCTTCTCCTCCTCCTCCTCCTCCACCTCCTCCTCCTTTTCCTTCTCCTCCTTCTCCTCCTCCTCCACCTCCTCCTCTTCCTTATCATCCTCTTCCTCCTCCTCCTCATCCTTTCCCTCCTCCTTGACGCTTGACGCGACGGCGCAACCAAAATACGACCGAGACCAGACCTGCCAGAAGCGGCCAGAGAGGAAGCAGCGACGCAGCAACGGCGACACAGCCGGACCGAGCCGAACTGACCAAACGCGGACGACCGCGACGCGGCCGAACCGACCATACCGCGGACGCCCTTGCTCCCTCCCTCCTCCTCCTCCTCCTCCTCCTCCTCCTCCTCCATCATCAAGGGGAGGGAGGCGAGGAGGAGGGTAACGAACGAACGAATGAAGCAGCCGCCGCCAGGAAGCTGGCGCACCTGAAAAGGAGGCTACCGCGCTAGTCGACCGCAGGCCTTCTACGAAGGCTATTCGATGTGGGATCGGGCCCAAAAACAATGAGACATGAAGCGTTTGCACGAGCCGTCGTGCGGTCATCGCCAGGCAAGGAGGATGGGGGGAGGGAGGCAAACGTCGGGGAGGGACGAAAAGGTAGGACAGCAACGCGTAAGGTAGAGAATCAGCTCGCGTAGCTGGTTTTCGTGGCGCCTCCTGGCGCTGGGAGGCGCCCATGTGTCGAGGAATGGGCCTGGCGGCGGGGCGGACGACCCTAAAAATCCCGACCCCTTCCCCAGGGCCCGCTTTTCATCCTGAATAGTTCTGTTGACGGTCCAGGGGTCCCGCGAGGGCCCCCAGAGGCCGAAAGTGTCGAACACACATCCGCCCTGAGTTTTTCACGACGCGATCATGCCTGGAAGCCCTCCTTTCCCAATCCCGCCCCCTCCCTTTCGTGAGGCCCGAAACAGGATGGGGAGCAGGAGCAGGGGCAGCAGAGCTCGAGCCAGGCCAGAGGCAGGGCGGGGGGGGCGGGCGAGCGGGAGCGGGAGCGGGAGGAGGGGCGGGAGGAGGAGGAGCGGCTGGGAGAGCAGAGGACGCCGAGCTGGCGGTGCGAACACTGGCGGCAGGGGGAGGGGGGAAGGCTTTTTAGAAAGAGGCTGCTTCTCACAAGGCGCGGGCCGTACATCGACAGAGAAGGCCCGCGCCTTCTAAGGGTGCTTCTAAAGATCCCCTTCCTCCCCAATGTTCCCCTCTATACGCGGCTGGAACAGATAAGGCGGGCCCACCGCCCGCCCACCGAGGAGGAGACGGGACGAGGCGAGCTCCTGGAGTCCACAGCAGGCAGCCAGGTGAGCTACCGAGCCTGGGGGTTCTGGGGGTGGATGGTTAGCAGCCTCCCAAGCGGGGTCTAAGCAAATGGGATCGCAGGATCGCGCCGCATCTTCGATGCCTCACCGATGCGTCGGCGGTGCATCGACGACGTCGGCGCGGGGAAAATCGGGCTCCACATCGAACCGCATCGACGATGCATCGGCGATGCGGCGCGATCCTTCGACCCCATCTGCTCGGACCCCATCTGGGAAGCCCACAGCAACTCTTCGCGGTACTAAGTCGGGCATGTCCCTCTGCATGAGGAGTACTCAAGACTAGTACGAAATAATATGGTGACGATTGTCCATGTCTCTGTTGACTATGTGTGATTGTTTCTTCGACAATGTTCCATTTTCTCTCCACATCTGGAGGAGGAGGAGGAGGAGGAGGAGGAGGAGGAAGAGCAGGAGGAGGAGGAGGAGGAACGGAGGAGGCGGAGGAGAGCAAGGGCATAGCGACGAGACGAGGGCAGGCGGACAAGAGAAGAACGAGAAGCGGGCAAGCAATCCATCAGTCTCTCTCGGCGGCAGCGGTGGGCGGGCCTGCCGGGCCAGCTCGCTGCAGCAGATCTCGAATGCCAGCGCGTCGGCGGGCCAGCACCCGCGCACGCGCGCGGAAGAGAGCAGAGAGGCACACAGGTCCGAATCTGTCCTGCGCGCGTAAAGTGTCTAGCATAATATCATGCACAAGGAGAGTCGATAGCAGGTTCTGACTGGTCTGGGGGCCTCCAAACAAGCAAAACATATGCTCATATCTGGTTCGAGTGGCGTAGTCAGGAGGCAGATTCGGCAAAACTACAGGCAGGACGCTCAGAGCAGCAGGACAGTGGAGGTAGTGATCAACAGCATCACCGAATAAGGCCTGGAAACCAAAACGACAAATCTGGGTCCCTTGACGGAACCCACGTGTTGTTGGCCAGGCATTACATATAGACTTGATGTACGAGACGGCCGCGAAGGGGCCAGCGCGCTCGACCAGGAAGTGAATGCACCTGAAAGCAGCAGCAGCGATCTCCCAGGGAGCCTCAGGCCAGAAGTATCGAACCCGCGGCCCGAGAAGGTGTGCAATGGGAGGAACCTCGCGCTGGGAACTCAAGAGCCTGAAAACTTTCTTCTGTACTTCGTGCACATCATCTTCAGCAAGATGAGGGGCAATGGCGACCAGCCTCTTACAGTTCTCAAGCCATGTATAAGTGACAGAATGCTGAAGCCAATGAGGAAGGCGGGGAAGCAGCAGGACATCAGTATCATAATGCTCAACCTGGTGGAATCGAATAAAAAAGTGATCGAAGACCTTGCTACGCAGCGCAGATCGAAAAAAGAGCAGCACGATTCTGACAAGTGATATCACGAGGCACCGTATCAAAGCCAAGCTGTTCCATATTCTTCAGTAGTGAAGTGGAGATGGCGTGTCTCGGAGAGGCCGTCAGCCTCTGCAGGGCTGTATGTTCTGTCGTGGTGACACGATCATTGACAAAATAGAGTAGACCAATATGAGATAGCGCAGGTTGAGCGAGAACGTTGTATGCGCGAATGTTCTGGGTCATAGGAATCTTCAGAGAGCGGATGCGGGCGACCCTCTCGAGCAGCTTAATACATGGAGCCTTCCAGGATTCATCGGCACCGTCAGCTCCAAGATAAACACCCAAATACTTTGCACACTTCCCAACACGAAAGTCCATCACAGGAATACCAAGAGAAACAAACTCATTGATGACGGAGGCGGGTCGACATCCATGGCAAAGACGATCCAGCACTTGCGGGAATTGAGGTTGAGGCCTGTGGCGTGACTTGTATGCTGCATCCAATCTATCAGATAATCTACCACCACGGGAACTGATTTAGAGAGGCCACCAGATGCAATGCCAATATCATCAGCACAGGCAAAGAGGATAAGCAGGGTGGTCTTCCAGACGGCGCCGAAGACCACGCACAGCAGGGTCAAATATTAAGACAAAAATCAAGGAAGAGAGAGGGCACCCTTGCTTCATTCCACGGGAAATGTGGAAACCTGGAAATACGGAGCCACAAAAAGCGACGGACACATACATGCTGTTGTACAGCATGCGGATGGCATTCGCGATCTTGGAAGGCATCCCGAGACCGTCCAAGACCCTGAAGATCCAGGAGTGATGAACCGACGGGAACGCAGCAGCAATATCCAAAAAGAGCATGCCAGGATACCTGAGGCCACGATAGCAGGCCCATTCAACCACCCAAGACTCCAACTCAGCAACATTGTCCAAGAGATTGCGGCCTCCAATAAACCCCCGTTGGCACGATACTACGGAGTACCGGGCTTGTGTTTGGAACGGGCTGGCCAGGGCAGTAGAGATCAACTTATTGTTCGTGTTGCTAAGGGTGAGTGTGCGGGTCTGCTTGGGCTCCAAGATAGATTTAGCCTCACCGTCAGCAACGTCAACCTTAGGAAGGATAGCGAGTAAGCCATGATTGAAGCCAATAGGGGGATCGAGACCACGGAGAAGGGCAGCATAAGCTTGATACAGACACTGATGTACCATGGGGCCTCCGTTTTTCCATCCACTGTAAGGGATACCATCGGGACCAGTGGCAGAGTCCTTCCTACTCATAAGAACGGACCGAAACTCGAACTCTTCTAGCTCCCAAGAGATGCCAGGCGAAATCTGTTGAAATTCGAGACCTAATTCAGTAAGAACGTGAGGATCGACAAAAGGAGGAAGAGGAGGCGCACGATGTACTTCGCCCCAATGCTCGGCTAAATGCTTTGCAGACTGCTCAATCGAAGGCGGCGCGGAGTCGAGCGGGAGGAGGCGGAGGAGGAGGAGGAGGAGGAGGAGGAGGAGGACAGGGAGGAGGATGATGAAAACCCCAGGCACAGCCCAGGACAGCTTCTCTCACTTCCTCCAGCCCACGAGGCGCCACGTGCCTCTGCAGGGGGGTGGGTGGGTTCGGTCGGGCCGGACGGAAAGGAAGGATAGCAAGAGGGGCGTACGGGGGGAGGGTGGAGGGCGACTCCCAGGGGGGGGGGGGGGTGATCCCTGAACCCCTCGGGTCATGAAACAATCACGACGGAAAGGAAAGGATAGCAAGAGGGGCGTACGCGGGGAGGGTGGAGGGCGACTCCCAGGGGGGGGGGGGGATCCCAGACCCCCTCGGGTCATGAAACAGTCACGACGGAAACTTTCTCACGATTTTTGGCCTCCGGGGGCCCCCGCCGGGCCCCGGGACCGTCAGAACCCGACTCGGGGTGATGAAAGGCCCCGGGAAAGGGGTCGAGACCTCTGAGGATCGCCGTGCCGAAAAAATCATGACGTCGCGGGGTCTGGGAGCGGGGGCGAGTCAGCTCACGCAGCTCGCGTTCCCGGCTCCTCCCGACGCCGGGAGGCGCAGAGGTGCAGAGGAGAGGCGCCTGGCGGCGGGGCTGGAACCAGCTGCATGCCGCAGACTTCGCAACACGCCCTCCTTCTGGCCCGCGAGCGGCAGCCCCTCCTCCTCCTCCTCCTCCTCCTCCTCCTCCTCCTCCTCCTCCTCCTCCTCCTCTCCTCCTCCTCCTCCTCCCCCTCCTCCTCCTCCTCCTCCTCCTCCTCCTCCTCCTCCTCCTCCTCCTCCTCCTCCTCCTCGTCCCCCTCCTCCTCCTCCTCCTCCTCCTCTCCTCCTCCTCCTCCTCCTCCTCCTCCTCCTCCTCCTCCTCCTCCTCCTCCTCCTCCTCCTCCTCCTCCTCCTCCTCCCCGAGGGGGTAAAACAGACCTGCGATGGTCGCTCCTGGCCGCCCTCGCGTGGCCGAGCCGGCGGGCGCGTCTCAGGACAAGGCGCAGTGCGGACAGGAGGAAGAGGAGGAAGAGAGACGCGAGGGGTGCTGGCTCCGGCCTCCAGTGGAATGAGTTTTTGCATGCTCGCCCTCTCTACAGCTTGCCGGGAGCAGCTGCCAGGCTTGGCCATCAAGCGTGGGCCGGAAGGACGGGACGTTGCACCTGCGGATATGGGATCGGGAGACCTGGCCCCGATGTCTCGATTTCTCCACATGAGCGACGATCAGAAACGGGTCTTGCGCGAGATGGCGTAGCGACCTTACGCCGCACCTTGCGCGGGCCGCCAGCGCGGCGCGCTACATTAGAAACGAGGGTGCTTCCGCGCGACCTTGCGCGGGACGCTTACGCGCACGAAGATCGGCGAATACGACCCAGTCTTCCTGCGTCGCCGACATGGGACCCCAGAAGTCCCGGAAGTCCAGACCCAATCCCCATGGGCCTGATTCCCATCCCGAGTTGTTTCGTTGATGATCCTGGGCTCCGGCGAGGGCCTTAGAAGCCCAAATCGGCGGAACAATTCCCTGTTGCTCTCAAAGAACTTGGAGGTCTGGGCCCTACAAAAGCGTTGGCACTGCACCTGGGCGTTGGCACTGCACAGGCCGCCGCCGTTGGCAGCGTCGGCACCCCACCCCCACGGGGGCGCGGGGCGCCCCAGAGCCGGAAAGAACAGAGGCTGTCCCGGACTGCTGGGCGATGACAAGAGGGAGCACCACTAAGGGGGCGGCCAAATCCTCTGCAGGACACGGGCCTCCCTGGACTCCCAGAACGCACCCAGGACCCCCCCCCCCCCCCAAAAAAAAACGCCCCAAAGACACCCCAAAGCCTTCGATCCTCCCTCCTCCTCGGCCACTCGAATTCCAGGAAGCGGTGGTGACCCCCCTGGTGCCGACACTCCTGCTGGCACTGCCCGAGCCAGGCTGCTCTCGGTCGGCGACACGCAACAATGACCCTATGCAGGAGCGCCCTTTTATGGTGCGAGGAACACTCAGCGATCGGGGGACCCCAGTCGGCCCGCGCCAAAGGTCGCTCCGGCGAAGGGTCATTAGACGTGCAGACGAGACGATGTCCCGAGAGAGGGGCGGGGGGGGGGGGGCAGTCGGGGAGGCCGCGTCCTGGGCGGTGGTCTGCGTGCAGGCCCGTGTGCCCTGCCCCGCGGCGAACTGTCTGCTTTTCTCTCCCGCAGGGTCCCCCGCGTGGCCCGCGCGGCCACGCAGAGCGGCCCACTGCGGCCTGTGCGGCCTGCCTGGCGGCAGGCACTCGCCGCGATAGCAGGCCAGAGGCACCCCAGCCCGTATCGCCGGGGGCCGAGCAGAGGAGGGAGGGCGAGAGGGCATCGGCACCGATGCCTTCCCGAAGAGCCTGGCGCTGCAGTTTGGTTGCGCCAGGCGTGTTCGCTCAGTCTCGGGCCCTGGGACCGCCACAGATCGAGCGGGCTCGAATAACTGCGCAGAAGCATGGGGTCTGGGGCTCCGGTCGTGACTTCTGCCGATGTTTCCTTTTTGTTGCGACGTCGGATCTCAGGGTACGGCGGGTCTACGTCGCGATGACGTCGGCGCTAACCCCTGATTTCGTGAATCGCTCAACCACGCACAGTCGCTGCTGCCGCGCTACGTTCTACTCAGGGGAGGAAGGGTGGGCTGGCGGCAGTGGGCAGAAGCCCCCGACTTACCGACTTAAGAACAACTGCGCAGGGGGCCGCTCCGGGCGGCGCCTCTTGCTGGACGCCCTCCAGGGCGGCTCCCCAGCGCTCATGCGCGGCCGGGCCGCGTCAGACGACCAGTGGCGCCTCCGGGCGCACAGAGGCGCTGTCAGCTGATCGGAAGGCCTGGTGCTGAGCAGGGCGGAGCGGAGGGGACTCGACCCTGGGGCTGGGAAGGTGCAGGCAGCGCTGTGCAAGTGTGGTGCGGCACCGGATGGGGGAAGGGGGGGGAGGAGTTGCGGGCCCACTGAGAATGCAACCATGGCGGTGACCCTTGAACAGCTTCTGAAAACGGACAGAATCGCCGACTGCCCCGACGAGCTACGACTAGCGAGCTCGGCCTTGCTGTTCACCTTGGCCCAAGGCTAAACATACCATTCAATATAAGAACTAAGTATATGATCTCTCTGGCTCCCGTCAAGGAAGTGTCTGCGCTCCTGGACTGCATCGCGCCCAAAGGGCGAACACAACCACAACCCTCGCCGAGCATGATATTTGAGCGAATGGCTCAGAAGAGCCCGCCCATACCGCAATGTGCACTTGCCGCCCAGGGGGGGGATCCCGCAAGACAATGTCCAAACGAGTCAAACACAGACACAGGGGGTACGAAATGGAGGAAATGAGGGGCTGGGGGTGGAGGGCCCAGACCTCCCGCGACTTGATCTTTTCGAGTAGGCAGCCCCCGGCGGAGCCCTCGAAACCTATGGGGAAGGGGCCTCTCACCCTGAGTACTTGTTCGACGGCCCTGGGGCTCGCAATCGCCCCCCACCCACACACGCACAAGACGCAAACGATGGCGAGTAGCAAACCTTGGCGAGCATAGCCTCTGGCGCGACTCGAATGCTTCAAGTCGGTGAGGACCTGCTGTGAAAAGGGCCCCGATAGGGGGTTTAAGAAGCCCGGGGGGGGGCCGCCCAGGCGGCCCGAAAGGCGGAGGAGGTCCTCCTCCTCCTCCTCCTCCTCCTCCTCCTCCTCCTCCTCCTCCTCCTCCTCCTTTTCGGGCAGCGGCGCCAAAAAACCGGGGATGAGGAGGAGGTCCTCCTCCTCCTCCTCCTCCTCCTCCTCCTCCTCCTCCTGCTTCTCTTCCTGCTTCTCTTCCTGCTTCTCCTCCTCCTCCTCCTCCTCCTCCTCCTCCTCCTCCTCCTCCTCCTCCTCCTCCTCCTTTCCATCTCCAGATAATCTCCTTCTCCTCTTCTTCTCGTCATTAAGGCGGAGGGTTGAAGCCTCGGTGGGATTGGGCAGAGATTCAGCGGGATAGAGACGGCGGCGACGAGGACCCCCAGACCACGAGCCACGCAGAGAGGACGAGCCCAAACCCCAAGCACCCACTCAGGAGGGGGGGCGCAAGGGAGGACGAGAGAAGAAGAGAAGGGACCGCAGAGGGGGAGCTTGAGCTCAGGGTGTCCATGACGAAGCGCTGGGCCCACCAGGGCCGAGCGGGGGCCAGACACAGGATTTACGAGCCGCGACCAGCTGCCGATATCAACCAATCTACACAGCAACCTGGCCAATGTGTGTGCAGAAGCTCCAAGCATGTGTCAAATGGTTTCCTCTCGAATTGTGTCTGGCTGGCAGGGTACACATTGTTGCATAATGCGAAATGCTACACTGAGAGATGGTGCACGTTACACATCAGCACGTCAGACAAAAACAACTACGCAGCTGCATTCACGGCTCAACTGCTGCAGTCAGACGGCTCGCACGAATCCTGGCACACGCTATGGCTCACTGCACGACCATGTTACTGTCAATTTCCAAGTGCCAGCAATGTGCTCGCAACAACTGTACCCCAGCGCCTTGATCTTGGCTACGAATGGCAAGAACATGCTGTGCAACACCTCATGATCGGGGATCGGCTCTCCAGGGGTCCACGTGGCTTCCGGCCCGCGAACCGCATAGATCCAGCTCTCCTCCAGAATCGCATTGCCAAAGGTCTCGACAAAGTAGCAGGAGTCCTTGAGCACTTTCTTCGGGAATCCTTCGATCGATCTGGACAGCACCTCGAAGGGCACTGTCGCCTGGGACACGTTCTCCTGCTCAGCTATTTGGGCGCACATAAGCTGAAACTGGGCTCGAACCATTTGGCAGCCTTGACTTTTCTGTCCCAGGCCTGCGCAGTTGGACCACGGGTCTGATCGAGCAAAGACTGAATCTGGACGAGCTTGTCCCGGATCTCACCTCCCAGCTCGGGAGCCCGGCGCCTCTCGCCTCTGAGGAGCTCCGCTGCCTCGGCGCAAGCAGCGAGGGCCTCGACCTCGAGATCCTGGGCCCTCGAAACCGTGGCCTTCGAGGCCTCGCCAGGATTGCACATTGGGTCCGCGTGGGAGATGGCGGAAGCAGCCTGGGAGAAAGCGAGCGCCTTTAGCTCTGCGTCATCCACGGCAGCAGCCATCTCCGTGGTGCAAGCACCCGTCTACTCCGCTGCCGAAGGCAGGACCTCGGGCGTTGCTGGCACGGGGTCGATGGCAGCATCAGCAGCAGGCAATGTTGCCTCCGAGCATTGGCCGTCTCCTTGAATCCACGGGAACCACGGTTCAGCGGAGGATCTGGGCTCTGTGGACCGCGTCCATTGGCCTGGAGCCTCGGAGAAGGCCGCCCCAGCGACGGAACCGCCAGCGCTGTAATGAGCTCGCGCTCGCGGCGTGTTGCCAGCACTACTCTGGCGGACAGCAGCAGCAGCGCCATCACGTCGAGCTCGCCGATCAAAATCTTCGTGCTCGTCATCACCGCCGCCGTGAGCGCCACCATCGTCATGACCGCGATGCAGAGGATCCGGGGGCTCCCCGCCAGCAAGTGGCGCCAGCCAGATGCAGATCTCGGACTTCTGCGTGCCGGTGTGCCGATGCCCTCGATCGACCGTCTCGTACATGGGGACAATATTCATCAAGGCAAGGACCTGCTCGATCATGAGAGCCTGCGCGTGGGCAGACATGGGCGGAGCCGCATGGTCCACAATGAACTTCCACTTGACTTTGCCATCTGAGGCCGCTTTCGAAACCGACAAGAAGATCGGTCGATGGGCAACAGCCCGCGCCATGAGCCATTCTAGCCGCCCCAGAACCACCATGGCAGGGCGCGCGGGGGCAGAGGGAATGGGGAAACGCAAGTGCGCTGAGGAAGCCCCGCGGCGAGCACATGCTCGATCCCAGGGCGTTCCTTCTCCTCCTCCTCCTGCTCCTCCTGCTCCTCCTCCTCCTCCTCCTCCTCCTCCTCCTCCTCCTCCTCCTCCTCCTCCCTATCCCACTCCCTATCCTCCTCCCTATCCTCCTCCCTATCCTCCTCCTCCTCCTCCTCCTCCTCCTCCTCCTCCTCCTCCTCCTCCTCCTCCTCCTCCTCCTCCTCCTCCTCCTCCTCCTCCTCCATGGCGACCCGCGGGCGCGAGGCGCCGCGCCTCCCCCGGCGGGCCCCCGATGTCTGGGCAGCCGCCCTTTACGAGGTCGTCGGATGCGAAGGCCAGCTCCAGCGTCCCTACGGGGGGTGCGCTCACCGTCTTGATATGTCGCAGCGCCGCTTATTCTCGACGCGCCAAAGTGGATGACGCCGACACCACGGCAAACCCACGGCAAGCCCTGCGCCCCGTGCCCCAGCAGACGAAGCCGGCGCCGCGACCATCCCCACGGCAAACCCATCGCGCCCGAGGCGGCGTTCGCCCAGGTGCCCGCGGCGCCCTCCCGAAGGAGAAAGGCCGCGCGTCGGAACAAACGGCGCGGCGACATATCCATTTCGGCTGCCATCGTAGTCGAAAGCATCACCAAGGAGAGGGCGGAGGACAGGCAGCTGAGGCGAGCAGCACGTGATTTTTCAGAGATGGCGTTTCGACACGGTCTGAATCTCCCGAAGGGCTGGTCGACAATGAGGGCCCTGGATCAGGAACCGGTGGATCAAACATCCAGGGTTTGGAAGCCGGTGTGGAAAGCAAGTAAGGCTAGGCCATGTACATCACCGCCACCCTCATAAGAGAAGGGATCATCCAGGATCTGACGCCTCCTGGGCACATTCCTTGACGAACGCCCCCGCCGTACACCCACGACGCGAGACCACCCCGAGCTGGATACCGACGCATCGAGCCCGACATGGCCCTGCGCCGACACAAGTTTCACGAAGTCTACCCGACTGGAGGCCGAACGCCATTCTCCTCACAGGTGGGGTGACGGGAGAGAAGGAGGAGCAGCGGGGGGAGGAGGGAACTATGGAGGAGCAGGAGGAGGAGGAGGAGGAGGAGGACGGATGCGGGAGTCAGGATGAGGAAGGGAATGGAGAGGAGGAACGGGGATGAGATGGGAAGGGAAGGAGGAGCGGGAGGAGGGAGAGGAGGAGAATCAGGAGGAAGAGGAGGAAGAGGAGGAAGAGGAGTGCCCGTGCCCTTTTTGGTCATGGGCAGGACTGGGGGTCTGAGGAGGTGTGGGGGGTGGGAGGGAAGAAACTGCCTCAACCATCCTCCTCCAAAGGCCCCAACCTTCATCGGGCACGCTCTTGGCCCACTTCGGGCCCCAGAACTCGTCCAGAGGCCCCTAGAGGCCTCAAGGGGGGCGATCTTCCTCGAGACTTCGAATAGGGGATCGTCTACAGCATTGATTTGCCAGAGAATTATCTTGGACGTCATATCCACGAACAATGCGTATAACGCTCGCAGATTCAAGAGCATTATGGGTATGTGTTGTGCATTCGACGAGACAAGCAAATCTAGTGTAAATCAATGTTGTAGTCGATCCCCTTCTCGAAGAGTCGGCGGGCCGATCCGTGCGTCCGTCCTGGCGTCACTGCGGGCGCGCTGTTTCACCCAGCTGGGGCAGCATGCGAGGGGGGAACGGCGTGCTGCGATCGGGAACTTTTGCTTCGCGTGTCGCGGCGGCGGGGTCCTGGGCTACGCGACGCCCTGCAAGCGGGTAGCATACCGCTTCGCTCCGCGTGGCGGGAGGCTGGGAGAAGGCTCGGGACGCCGACGTTCTGCGATCGGGACGCGGTCAGCGTGTCGCGCCGACGCGTGGACGGCGGAGGGATACAATACACTGAAGTTCCCGACTGTGAGGGCGCTTCTTCTATTGGAAGCCCTCCCTGCCTCCGAAGAGGTGTTCCGAGAGGCCTCCGAGAAGGCATCGGCCCCTAGTGAGCTTAGAATTGCCGCCCCCACACGCCACACACACAAACACAAACACACACACAAACACACACACAAACACAAAACCGCTGGCGCGCAGCCAGCGCTTGGAGGAGGAACCTGCCAAAAAGGACGAGACCCGAGAGGATCTGAGTACAAGTCAGCGGGCATCTCGAGTAATTCGGTGGATGGGCCAGGGGTTCGCCTGGTGCCCGCTTGGTGGCCCGTCGTGGGCGCCATGGGCGCTAGGTCGGTCCGCCAAAGTCTCGCCTGGTGCCCGTTGGTGCCCGTCGAGCGGCGCCTCGTGGGCGCCCCGTGCGCTGGGTGGGTCCTCCAGGGTTTCGCCTGGTGCCCACCAGCGGGCGGCCGACTAGCTTGCACCACGTAGCTTGCACCACCAAGTGAGCCCCACACATGTATTACTGCATAGCTTCTGCCACATAGCTCACACAAGACAGCTTCCACTGCGGAGATCACCCCGCATGGCCTACATGACATACCTGGCACTGCTCATATTGTTTCGTATAGCTCACACCATCTACCTTACATCACCCAGCTTCAACCGCATATCGTACACCAGTAGCTCACACACACACAAAGCGTACACCTCAGAGCTTGCACCACGTAGCTTATACCACATAGCTGGGACCGCATAGCTTACAACACACAGCTCGCAAACCATGCATCGCACCATGAAGCTTGCGTGCACCACATGAACTGCACATCTCACCGTGCACATCCACAGTGCGCTCACTGTTTGGGGTTCACGCTGACAAACGTATCTAAACATAGTCACTGACTAAAAACACCGAACCCCCTCTGCCGCATAACCGCCACGACCTCCTCTACGGCCACCACTGATGGTGCCACGACGTCTTAGACCACCACTCTCCCCCTGACGGAAAGAAGTGCGATGTCAGGACACGCCCAATCCAGCTTGCACCTCGGAGTCAAGAACATCTGAAGAACGATGAGGATGTCAACCTCAGACAGTCGAGCATCCAGTGGATGCTCGACTGGAGCACCATGTGGCTGAGACCACGAGGACCATTAACATAACATGTACCTCCTCTCCAGGGAACCTGGAGGTATCCCAAAAGGCCTCCTCGGGCAACCGAACTAAACAATAACATCAGCATTAACAATTACTCGATTTGGGGGTAGACCACAAACTTCAGATGACAGAACGCGCGATGGCATCGACAGGCGAATAGCAAATGAGCTCCTTTCGCAACGCGAATTTGGGGGCCCTTGGACCCACGGCGCCCGATGTACTCTCTGAGAACGACCCGAGTCCCAAAACGCCCCCGCTCACCGCGAACGACCGCTGACTCACTGGACGATGAAGTCACCGCACCGTCTGGGGACCCTCGATCGCTCCCCGACGCCCCGGCGACACGCAAGAGAAACCATAGGCAAGAGCAACCTTCGGCGCGCGGCTTTAGGGGGCTGCGGTGGGGGAGGGGAGGGGGGAGGGGGGAGGCGAGGGGGGAGGGAGGGGGGAGGGGGGGGGGGGGGACAAATCCAGGCGCGCAAGCCAACGCAAGGGGCGCCCCTCGCGGTGCCGTCCTTCCCTCGCAGAAGGACCTGGGCCGATGGTCGCCCTTGCGCGCGCCGCCCTCCATGTGGCCCACGACCACCACTAGCAGGTTTCCAGGAAACAGTTCCTGGAAGGTCATCCCGAGAACGATGGAAGGGTACAAAAGCAGAGTAAAGAGCCACGAAGCCAGATTGGGCCAGGTTCAGCCCAGGAAAACAAACACCCCGTATTCAGCGGGATTAAGCAGACTTAACTAAGCCAGAGTATGATTTTCGACCAAGGATCTACGAGCGCCGATTCTGGTTTTAACCGCTCAGGAGTTGCATCCTAGATCTCCAGGACAGTTCTACCAGGTAGGTTGGCAGCGCGCACAAGGGGGCAGGGGGACAGGGGCAGGCTTCTTAGAAGGAGGCTGCTTTCCAGAAGGCGGAGGCCCTACATCTAGAGACAGACAGGGCCCGCGCCCTCTAAGAAGTAGGGTAGCTTCTGAGAAGCTTCCCCCCCCTTTACCCCCCTCTGCAAGTGGCTGAGCAGGCTCCTCGGAGACCCCTACACGCCCGACCCTTGACGCCGTGCCCTCCCCTCGGAGGACCGTGCGCCAAGCGTCGGCCCCGCGCTCGATCCTCGATCCGCGAGCCCCGATACGGCCACACGCAGGAGCAACCTAGGTGATGAAGGGCGTCCAAGAAGAGGTCCTCCAAGAGGGGGTTCGCAAACCATGGCCCGAGGCATGTGCGCGGCCCAGGGGGGACAGGGGGCGTACTGAAGCAAGAAAAGGCGCCATGAGATCTGGGGACATGGCTTTGGCCATGATGTCCACCCCCCGAGTCATCACCCCCACGTCTGACCACCCCCGAAGTGACCTTTGGTGTGAGGCTCGCCAATCGTTGTGCGTGAAAACATACACCTTCGACGTTATGATTTCTGTCGCAACGTGTACTCGTAGAGGTTTGGACACATTTCCTGGGACCAGCGTTTCATCCCGAGCCGTTTTCTGACGGTCACTGGGGCCCAGCAGTCGGCCCGAGTGGCCCAAAATCGTTCCCCAAAGCCCGTCCGCCGTCATTTTTCTGAGGCGAGCTGCAGGGGGTGTGGCTCAATGGGACACGTAGAAGATGCATCGCCGACAAGTCGGCGAGAGGCCCCGGACGCAAAAAAAAAAAAAAACACGTTCCTGGGCAGGTGGGGGACAGCCATGGGCCATGGGCGAGGAATGGACGATTGGAGTCGAGATCCCCCCCTTAGCAAGTCCCCCCCCTATCTGGGCGACAGAGCTTGCCGACGCAAGGAAGTCTGGGAAAAGCTGGGGCCGCTAGCAGGAGCAGCCCGCATCTAATCGGAAAGCCGGATCGAATCGGAATGTGAGTCGGATCGCGCCGCATCAGCGAGGCATCGGAAC